ATGTTTATTCAGAGAAAGTACGTTTTTGTGTCTGATTTCGTAACTTAATTAATAGTTAGCACTAATTAATTAGCATATTTGAGGTCACCCCCAGGAACCATTAAGATTGACACTTAGTTCGTGAAAATCCGATCATTAGAACGAAAGTTATTCAGGGTGATTCGTTTTTTTTTTTGCGGACTGTACATACTGGATTTGTGCAGAATCCATGTGTTGATTAGATTTTTTTCTCCAGCTATTACTGCTATTTATTTTTAAATGTGTTTTTTTTTTAATTCTGGTATTTTTTATACATCAGCATTTTTTTAATCTTTATTTTTCATGTGTTATTATTATGACACATTTGACTAGTGCATTTGATTTTTCACATTTTGTGCGACAGTTCCGTCATATTTCTGATTGGTTTTTCGGCAGTAATTACTACCTAATAATTTCAGAAATTTTTTTTTAAATCCTAATATTTTTAATATGATATTATTTATAACAATCGAATTGCTCAAACAATCACTTTTTGGTGTGCCCAATTCACTGCCCTACAGGATATCCCAGTCATAATTCGTGAATTATGACTTGGATATCCTGTAGGGCGGTGGATGTGAATTGTGGTGAATATATATATATATATTACATTTAAATATATTAAACTAAATAATTAATGCATGTTGCAAAAAAAAATGGCATGAAATAAAATGCTTGAGGTTAGCAATGTTCAATGAAATGCAATGAAATATTATAGGGATAAAAGTTGCAGGACACTTTTGAACTTAATAAATCAAATGTTTAAAAAAAATTTATAAGATTAAAAAAAATATGACATCTTGTGCTTTCAAAAGTACCAAACAATATGTTATATCTTTGGTAGATTACTTTTGTTTTAAAAATGCATCTGTTTTTTTTTCTCAATGTTTTGTCTATACTTTTATTGGTCTTTCAAACTACATTATTTTCGTAAATGTATATTTATTAATATTAAATATTAATAAAGTGAATTAAATATTTGCTGAATTTTTCAATGCTATATTTTTAAAGCGTATTTTAAAAATTAGCTTCAATTAAGAAGCATTTTAAAATTGTAAGAAATTGTATTTAAAAACCTTCTTATTTATGTGATTGCACATTATTTTTTAACGAAACAAATTACTTTCAGGCTGCTGTTGACAATGGTGCCAAAATTTCCTCATACCTCCTGGAATATGACGAAGTAATTGTTTTAAAATTTTTTTTAGGAAAGTGAATTGGGATTGCTATTAAATTAAATAGCTTTTTTTTGTAATATATATGTTTTATTGTTTCTATTTGATAAATTTTTAAAATATATTTTTAGAGTTGAAAGTTAAATTTCAAGAAAAAGTTATTTTAGAAAAAAACTATCTCAATCAAACAAACCTCTTCTCATTTTTTAAAGCTAACTAATTTTTATGATATAACATTAAATGCAAATTTAAACAAATAGCATAATTGTTTATTTATTTAAAATAATTCTATTTTTCGTAATTGTTAAACTTGTTTTTACGCATAATTTTATCAGTAGGGGCCATTTATATTGACGTTAAAGTTGATTCATCAATCTGGTTCATTACGTCAACACAAGTGACATTTCCGCACCAGAAAAAATGACACTGAGTAAATTTAAAATCTCTTGCATAAAATCATGCACCATTGATAACATTTTGAAGTCAATGAAGGTAACCCCTAAGAATGACCAATCTTCATTAATGGCCATTTTTTGTGAACACGACTTGTTACAGAGATACTCTTACACTACTACATTGACACTACTTGTTACGGAGAGTGATTTCTCCTGAGTGGTTTCACTGTATATTAATTTGCTATACACCATTTTATAAAAACAAAACCTTCATTACATTGTATACTTAGATATCTCACATGAAGATGATATCTCACCTCTAGAAATGTGTAAAATAATGAGTTACTTCATTGTATTTAAAAATATTTTTTATATTAAAACATATTAGTTGTAATATGTTTATTTTTTATTAATATTATTTATCTTTACTTTAAATAGGGTAGTGGAACAGATAATTTCGTTGAACTTTTTAGTGGCCTTCAAAAGCAATATAAAGCAGTGAAATTGAAAGAATCTACTTGTTACAGATTTCGACTGGTGGCTGTAAATGAACATGGAAAGAGGTATGTTTTTACTTATTCCTAGCATAAGCTCTTTAGGTTCTTTTTTGATAATTAATGTTAAAACTCTTTGCTTGAAATTAATTATGAAAAATATATAATGGTTTCAGTTTATATATGTATTGAAATTTTAGAAATTCCAGAATTGATGCATTTACTTCTAGAGCAGGGATGGGCAAACTTTTTTGCTCTAGGGCAAAAAATCGAGAGAAAAAAAAGTTTGGTGGGCTGAGTAAAAACTTCTAAACAAAAACAATATACAAGTTTTAATTTAAATATTTAATGAGATGAATGAAATTGCGATTTCCTTTTTAAAAGTTCCTTATATTAAGGTTCAAAGTGAGATGTGCTTATTTTTTGGAACGAGGCTAAATGCTTGTCTGTTAGTCTACTTCTGAAATGATTTTTTCTAAGGTTCATAGTTGAAAACACTTTTCACATATATAAGATAAAGCAAACATAGTACTGATTTTCTGGGCAAAAGATATTAAATTTTGGAACCTAGCTTTGGTAATGATTTGCAAAACTCAAACCAGGGTGCGTAGCGTTTGTAAAAAGTACTTAAAGGTGCTTTTTTGTGGATTTCGTTTTTAAAAGCTTTTAAAGGTGCTTTTTTCAGCTGGCGTTTTTAAAAAGTGCTTTTTTTTCGAATAATTTTTTTTCTTCCCTTCAGTGATATCTGGTGGATCCTGCATTTTACAAAAAATGGAGTGTTAGCTACGTAATCATTCACGCGGACTTCTTGTCGTACCCACGTTATGACTTGCGCATGCGCGCACACTTGAAACAGAAACCCGAGTGCTCCAATTCGGATAGAGAGTATCAGATCCTTATGAAATGTTTTTCTTTTAAATTTATTTTAATTTTGTTCTTGTTTATTTTATTTTACTTCTAACACTTTTTTTGACGTAGGGGGTAAGGGTACTTTTGTTCTGAGTTCAGGGTCAAGTTGAATTCACTCGGTGATGTGGGAAAGTACTGATTGTTTTGATTTACGCCCGTTTCTTTTTTGGTTTTTTTAAACGCTAAAACTGTTTATAAAAAGTTTCTATTTTTCAATAATATCATTGATTGAATATGAATTTTTTGAGTTCTTGAAAACTTTTGTAAAGTGCTTGAAAAGTTTTTAAAAAGTGCTTATTTTTGATTCAAAGATTTGGCTATGCACCCTGTCAATTTTTGGCATGTTTAGAAACAACAATAGTGTGCAATCTTTCCATACTCAATAAATAATGTTAGAATTCACCCCAGCAGAAAAATCCCCTCGTTGGAGCTTAAAATGTGCTGCCTGCCACATGTGAAGCCCAATTCACCTATGTTCGATTCCATATGTCTGATCCCGGGAAAGACAAACGCTCGTTGCAGCTAATCTGCGGCTATTCTATTAAGAACTTCTGCTTTCAACATTTTGCCAATTGAAGCTATCTGAGCCAACTATTTCCGTCAGTTCCACCAATAGAGAAAGTAAAAACGTCATCAGTATTTTGTTAAAAAAGAAAGAACAAAAATAGCTTTAAACAAAGGAGACAAAATAATGGATGTATAATGTATCTTGTTTATATTCGCCATGGACCAGCAAGTTAAAATTCTATCCGTGGGCCAGATAAAATCTTCCAACGAGCCACAGTTAGCCCGCTGGCTGTAGTTTGCCCATCCCTGTTCTAGAGTGTTTAATTATTAATTCAATTTATAATCTTGCTCAGCTAAACAATTCTAGTTGGGAATTTATGGTAAACACAGTATAATACAATATTGAAAGTTTTACATATTAGAAATGAATGCTGTTTAGTAGAAAATCTTATGTTTTTCATTTTCTTAATTTGAAGATCATGATATTGGCTTACATTTTCAAGTTTAAATTTGTCTGTTTTGAAAGTATTTTGAAATGAAACAAATATATTTGTGTTATAAATAAAATATAAATTCTTATCTCTACTATATCATTCTTATTTATATATTATAAACATATTTTATTGGGATATTAAGTGAAAGTATACTCTTTTTAGTGGATACAGCAGCATAAGTTGTTTTTCTACTTGTGGTAGTACTCCTAGTCAACCTGCACCACCAGTATTAAAAGAAGCTTTTGTTACAAAATTATGTCTGGAATGGGAGCAGCGGCCAAATGATGATAATTACACACTTCAAATGGAAGATATGAGAACCGTATGTCTTACATATATTGTATATATGAATATAATGTTTGGGGGTGTTATGGAAGTTTGGAGGTGTTATATTGTTTTTAAATTTTCTTTTAATCAAGGTAATCTTCATCCTTTATTTATCATGACAAACTATTTTATAATTTCGGATCATGTATTAATTATTAGGAGCAAAAGTTTTTCTTTTATTGTCTGCTTTCTTTATTTGATATCTATTAAGGAAATATTTTTTTAATTAATGACTTCTGATTTCCCAGAAGTGTAGTATCATTTGCAAGTTTTGCCTGATGTGAAATGACATCTGCTATTCATAACGTCAAGTTTTATAAATAAAAGCAGAAGATTCTTAACATAAGAAGTATTCTTAAACATACTAGTTGTACTTAAACATACTAATTATGTACTAAAACCAGACTATTATTTTATGAATCTGATTGTAGCTTTCTCTTTTTATAAGTGATACATATCTGATTCCTTATTTCACAACATTTTGAGTTTCTTTTCTCCTTTTTTTGGTTTGCGATAAATTTCAAAGTCAATAAAATAGTTCTTATTCCCGAGTTTTAAGATAGTTTAAAATTTTTTTTATTTTTATTATTCTCATTATATCTTGCCTTGTCGAGGAGATTAATATTTATGCAAGCACTTCCTTTAATTATTGTTTCTATTTGTTAATTTTTAAGTGTTTTTATTTAATTTGATGAATAAGTTTTCCTTTTAATTTATCATTTTCTATTTCCATATAACAAGTCATGAAATAATTTGTATTTTTTAATCATTAATTTTGTTTTATTTTAATTAATTTGGTGATTTTTGATAAATCTTTAGTTAACTATAATTTGACTTAACTTCAGTTAAATGAATAACATTGATTAACTGATATGTTTGCTAGTTTTTTGTGTTGGTTTGGTATTAATCATGAAAATAAGTTTTTTTAAATATTTTTTTTATTAATTTCGAGGGTTTTGCCATTGTAATTTTTATTTTCTATCTATTTATCATTAAGTTTAATTTTTTAAAATAGAAACATTGCATTTTTATCGTTTTTTTTTATCTTTTTGTTTTTTTCTTCTCTTCTTAAAAATGTTCATCAATTGATTAAATTTCAATTAACTTTAATTAGCATAGGAAAGAAATCAGTCTTATGTATTAGTCTATCACTCTAGTAGTATTTTAATTTTGATCTGAAGGATATAAAAACCCTTTCCAAGATCAAATTCCTTTTTCTCAATCCAGCAGCCATTATGTAAGCATCTCATCTTTGAGGGACGTGGCCCCCTTTGCATTTAATAAAATTACAACTTCTCTTTTTCCATGATTTTGAAGTATTCGCGACTATCTTTTAAATTCATATGTTAATACTGTAAAATATATATTACTTTGTTTTATGAGAGTAGGAGACTGAAACAATCTCTCATCAATTGATTTTAATTGATCTCATAATTGATTTTAATTCATCGCTAATTTTTTAAAAATGCCAATATTTTCCCTTAAAACACAGAACACTTTTGTTTCAAAATATACAATTATTGTAGCTTTGTGTAAGAACATTTTGTAGATGTGTTAATTGTAATGAAATAGCAATAGACAGTTAATAATTCTCGAACTAATAATTAAATCGTAGTTTTTTTTTTATTCCATCAAACTCCTTGAATGTTTTTCTACACAACTTTGTAATTTAAAGTTTCTGAATCTTAAAGATTTTGAGCAAACAAAATGTGACGTAAATAAAAAAAGTGAGAAAAAATTGCAAAAAAGCATATAAAATGCAATGACTTTCAAACAAATTAGAATTTTGAAAAAAATTATGTGTTAAGCTTGTAAACAAAGGGTGACAATTTCTGCATGCCAAATTTCAACTATGTATTTGCATAGAGTGGCCAGTATGGTATTTCTTCCAACAAGTTTAACAGTTAATAATTCTCAACAAGATTATCAACTCTTATATTTTTTTATTCCATTGTGACCCCTGTACTCTTTTCTACACAAATTAGTAATTTCATGTTTTCTAAGTTTTGTAGTTTTTGATCAGCAAAACAAAATGTAACGTGAAATTGAACCTCAAAAACATATTTGGCTGTCCTTAAAGTTTTGTAATATACAAAGAAAGTTAAATTATTAGTTACTGTCTTTATTTAAATGTCTTATACTCTTAGTTTCATCAATTTTTTTTTAGCTTCATGGTTTTCTTCCTGTTTACAATGGCAAGGAAACATCTTACACTTGTACCCGCTTGACTCACAACACCACTTATAAATTTCGAGTAAGTATACCTTTGTATCATTTATTAATATGTCTTAAGTATCTTATTTTTAAAGCAACATGAAGTTCACCTGTTTATATTTTTTACAGTTTAATGGGAATATGTTTAGTGGGAATAGTTTAGGATATAAAATTATCAATGATCTATAATAATTAACGTTGGGTTACGTGTAGTATCCTTTATTGCAATTTAAAATTAATTTTCTTAAAATTGTTAATTGTTAGAAGTAAAATATTGTACTATTCTATTTTATTGCCACTTAGCATTAAGGGCTATAGCATTGGTGGAAGTGATAAAAGCTCTAAGATTTCTTGAAAAAAGAAAGGGAGCATTTTTTTTTGACGAAGTTTAATAAAAATTAAAGCAAATTTGAATTCTAAACAACTATATTGTTCAATTTTTCTAAAGGTGTACATAATTCACATTATGAAGTATTATTTATTGCAACAACACTGTTTGCTTTCAAAAAATTGTTCAATGCTCTGAAAAATCTTTATCTCCCCATTTATTTTAACAAGTGTAAATTTTGCATTATTGTATCATAAAAATTATATATTTTGTTAAAGATTTCATGATGTCCTTTTCAATTATGTTAACAGTATTGCCATATACATTATTATAAAGATTCTACAAAACGAGAAAATTAGAGTTAAGACATTAAAACATTTAGACTTAAAATAACATTAGGACATATTGTAACATTAGACATAAGGTAAAATTTTTTTTTGTTTGTATTAGTATGCAATAGTGAAATGGGGTTTGTACTGTTTTTGAGTTTAACAGAAATATTCAACTGTATGATGTTTGGATTATTCAGATTCTACTATGTATTGGAAATATTTCATATTCATCATTTATGAAAATTTATGATTTTTAGCTCTGTGCTAGTAATGATGAAGGGTTGAGTCCTTGGAGCCAAGTTGTATCATACTCTACTTTACCAGATAAGCCAGGTAAACCAGGAAAACCTAATGTAAAAGGTCGATCGCATTCAACATTTTTCAAATTAGTATGGGGTAAGTAAGACATTCATTGTTAGTTTTAATTTTCATTAAACTACAGAAATAAATTCTTAAGTTAAAACTATCAGTTTTTCAGAAATTAAAATTTTTTTAATGATTAAGTAATCATTATTCATTATGTATTTAATCATCATTCACTATAATCATTAAAAAAATTACCTTTAAACTTAAGCATTAGTTAATTTAATAAACATGATTTTAAATATAAAAAAAGAAAACTGAAGTACTTATGTGCTTACCTTCTCTTATTCCTCAATTTAGATTTTGTGTTAAATAAAACATACCGAACTTTATGTGGGATCTCATCTTCTACATAAGAACTTTCCTTTCAAATATTTCATTCTTCCATTTATTTGAGAAAAAATATTCATTTGTAGACTGAACACAGAAAAAAAGATAAAAGAGGGTTTAATGGCAATCGGGGCTCGCGCTATTATTAGCTAATATATTTGCCAAATATCGAAAATATTAACCCAGTTCCAAAATTCTTAGCTGAATTTTAAAACTCTTAGCACAGCAATTTTTTGATTAATTTTTCCCCGTAGAGAACTTTAAATGAAAATACAAATTTGCTGAAAATTGAATTATCTTATATAATTCAAATTTAAAACAAGAGTCATTTTACAGTTGAAGATGAGTAAACGAGCAATGAATTGGAGAGAGAATGAAAAATGTAAATGTTGTTTTATGGTTTTTGTGGAAAGGAAATAGGAATAGATTGGGGTTAACTTTTGATAACTTCTTAGACTAGAGGCAGTAATGTGATATGTTAGACTGAAGCAACATTATGTAATTGTATATGAGAAAATACAATATGTACATGAGAAATATTGTATATGTATTTGAAAAGACATATTTTTTGCAAAGTTTTTGCAGAATAATATGCATCTGGCCACCGCTTAATTCTGTTTTATTGACGCGAACTGTACGAAAGAATTTCGTAGCCCGCTGTCGCATGATCTGACAATGAACATGGTAATCTGTATTTTACAGTAGTTTGTCTCATGTTTACACTATCTGGACTTAAGATATGTCGCATAACCAATGAAATTATATTATTTAATGGAAATTACTGTAATTGAATACAGAAAAAAAGAATTGAATACAAAAAATTACAGAATATGTTCAGAACTATTTTTTTAGGATTGAGGGAAATATATATATTTTTCTTCTCGATAGAAAAATCATTAGCCCAAGCATTTTTCTCGCTAAATTTTATCTCATTTGACCAGGTACCGAATACTTACCGTGAACCCTGGGTAATGTAAAAATAGTTGCTCTCTTGTGGTAGCAGGACAGTACATATTGTTATGTTTTTGGTACAGTACATTTGCTTTCAGTTTTTACTTTCAGATTTTGTATTATGATTTTAATCTCTGTAAATTTTTAAACTTTTCTAAGATTACTATTGTATGCACCCAATTAATTATCCGAAATTTTTTTTTGGTGCGAAATGTTTTTATAAATAATTTAATTTAGTTTTTACATTGTTTCAGACCCACCAAAAGAAGATGGAGGATGTCCTATTACTGAATACAAATTAGAGATGGATTCGGGAAATGGTAAGTTGAAATAATTTTCGATTTTAGAATTTAAAAAAGTGTTTCGTAAGTAAGGCTTGAATGTGATGAAAAATGTGTTGAAATACTTGTAGGGTTTTGTGAGATATACTGTGGTGAAGAACTAGAGTATACTTGTGAAAATTTGCAGCCTGGAAAATCTTACTCTTTTAGAGTGTCATGTCAAAGCCTTGGAGGGACAAGTGATGTAAGTTGTTCTTACAAAATCTAATTGAATTGTTATTTTTTCAAAGAAATGTTTGCTTATATTTGTTACTGTAATTATTTAGTTTATTATTACTTAAATTGAAATTTAAGTGAGTTAAGCTATGGATTAATTTTTAAGTGACTGTGACTATAACTACATAATATCACTGTGCAAACATTTTTATAATCAACAACTAATTATTGTTAAATACTTTTACTATTCTTTAATGTTTTTACATTTATTTTCATATACTTTTTCACTGTGCTAGTTTTCTGTTTATCCACAAATAAAGTTAACCCTTTCGCGCCGACTGTCACATATACGTGGCAGCAAGAAACGCGCTCACTTCCCGGCTGACACACCTGCGTGCCAGAGCGTTTTCTTGTTCATCCCCTTTCGTCACCCATTTGTGCCAGCGTTTCGGAAAGTTTTAAGAAATAAAATTTCTTCCATAAGATGGCATTGTATGTCCATATGGTTTCAGATACATGTAGATTTGTACTTTTATTCAAGATGAGAGTACATTCACGTGGTTTTTAGGGGGAAGGAATGTTTTATGACGGCTCTTTAAATTCGCATGTGGTATTTGTTCACAGTAAGGGGGAGGTTTTATTTCCCTTACTTTCAATTTTTGATTTAGTTTTTAGTGGATAGTTAGATCTTGTAGATCCCTGTTTTAAATTTTTTCATACAAATAAGGAACTTTAAGTCATGTTTTTAGTTTTCAGATATGTAATGTTAAATATTATTAAATGATAAGTGCATAGTAAAAATAAATTGTGTAAAATATATTTAAACAAGAAATAACTTAAGTTAATAAAATATCCATAGAAATATATATATAAAGCATATGTCATTTAAATACTCTACAGAACAATATTAAACAATGCGTTGATATTTTGGTAATTTCATGGAATTAGGCTTAACAGCAAAAAACCCTCCGGCCCTGGAGAGACACACGCGAGAGAGACTGCCGGCCTCAGCTGTAAGCGCGCTTCCGGTCGCGAAAGGGTTAAATGTAAAAATAAGTTTGATACCAGAAAATTGCTTTTGTTTCATTTGTTTTACATTATTTATACTTATTGTGTAGTTTTTATGTAGCTTTCCCTAGAAAAATTTTTTTTATTATTTTTTAATAACAAATATATCTTTAGCTGAATATAATATTAATAATATTATAGATTTATAATAATTAAGAATTGTATTTATATTTTTATCATGTATGAATGCTAATTGTTTTTCGTAATTTAGTTTTCAGAAATTGGAATTGGTGTGACATGTCCTGTAGTACCAGGTAAATGTCAAGCTCCTAAGCTATGTGGGAAACCTAAAGCGTCATCTCTTCATGTTAAATGGGGTTAGTGTTTTTTTCTTATTGTAATATGTATTTGTTTCAAAATAGATGTAAATATTTTATTTGTTTAATTCTGATGAAGATAAATTAACTAATAACAATAGTTTTTTTTTATTCAGTGAGTTTAAAAATTTTCCTTCTAATATATTTTCATCAATAGTTTCTCCTGAATATGATGGTGGATCTGAAATGACCGAATTTGAAGTGGAGATTACAAATCCTGATAATTCCGCCAGAATTGCATACAAAGGTGTCGGTACAGACTGTGTTGTTGCAGGTTTATTTCCTGGTCGTCTGTATGGATTTAAAGTTCGAGCTTATAATAAAGTTGGGGTAGGAATTTTAAATTATATCTATATCTATGTCTAAATAGCTACTTAAAAAAACTTTTCCTTTTTTGAAATAATTATCTTCGGTAAAATTGCAGTACTAGGGCCCATATCTGGATGTCCATTATTGTTAAAAATTTCTATTTTTAAATAATTTATGACATTAAAAATAAATCTGTGTTCACTTTTCCAAAAAAAAAAAAAAAAAAAANAAAAAAAAAAAAAAAAAAAAAAAAAAAAAAAAAACTCCATTTTTTTTTCACATTTGGAATTTGTTTTCAGTATCAGAAATTTTATTAATTTTTTTCTATGTTGAGGATAACTAAAATTTTTTATTATTTTAATGCTCACCTTTAAGAATTTGTTGGAAAAACAAGAGCTGTTAAAGAAGAAACTAAAGTTTGATGAGAGGAATTAACTTTGAATATAATAAATATTAATAGTTTGAAAGGAACAGCTGCAAACTGACTATATTTTTATTCAAATTGGAAATGTTATCATTAAAAAATATACTCAAATCTGTTCCTTGTTTAATATTTTTTTTATAAATGAGATTGATTAACTTTTCAAATTTGAAATTAGTTTTTTTTAATGTTATTTTTATCTGAATAGCTGTGCATATATATTTTTTTTTCCAAATCATGTGAAGGAAGAAAAAGAAACCTGTCTATATTCCTGAAAGCGGAAATTCAATTACTTACTTTTTCATTTTTTTATACTTATTTTATTAGTGACATTCATCATTTTAAATATTTGCTAATTAAATATTTTTTAACCAATTATAAATTTTTTTTTGTTTGAAACTTAAATGTAATTTTTTTAATTGAAAGACACCTGTTTTAATCTTTGTTAATCTCAAAAATCTTTGTTGTTCGCAAAAATATGTTTTCCGGACTTGCCGACTTCCTGAGGATATCAAATTCAGGGTACTTTCTACTGTAAATGTTCTCTTAAATATTAATTTTCTTTTTTAAAAAAGCCTTTATGATTTCTTTAGGCTGGCCCATGGTCTGATGTATTTGAAGTAACTAGTGGTGCTGGATCACCAGATGCTCCTCAAAATATTCAAATAACTCCACGTTCTGCACATGTAGTTTTCATATCTTGGACTGAACCAGCCAACAATGGTGCCATCATTACAGAATATCGATTGGAGTGTAGATGTAATGAAAAAGATTTTGATATGGTAAATATCTAATCACATTTTTTGTAAAACGTTAACCCTGAATTTTTCTATGTCAATTTATGTTTTTTTTTTTGTATTGAGAAGATGATATATTTAACTTTGATCCTGTGTTACATTGAGAATTTTTAACATTTTCTTTAAAAAAATGGTGGTATTTTGCATGAAATTGAGAATTTCCAAGTATTCTATGCTTCTCATTTATATAATTTTCAGGTATACATATTTCATTTGTTGGATTATTTGTCCATGCTCTTCATTATTTTAATTTTTTTCATTAATTATGACAAATTGTTAATAGTGAAACACATTAAAGTTGAATGTATGTTAATGAGTTTTAGTTAATATTTTTAAAAATATTGTTTTGTTGCATTATTTAGTGAATATTATGAAGTCTGAAAATATTAAAAAAATATCTTGTTAACAAAAATATGAATAGAAAGAAACATATAACGAGATAAATTAAAAAATAAAAGCACGAGACAATTTATGGAACATCAGAGAGTTGTAGATTTTTGATGAGAATAGTTTTTGTTCTTGAATTTAAGCTTTATACTAACCTGTTACAGGTTTTTCCATTTATTTTGCAAGGTTATTAGAAATCCAATAGGAGTATTTAATTTAAGTTGTTTAGTTTATGTGGCTGTCAAATAAATTTTATAATAAATGTGGCTTTTTATAAAAAGGACTGTTTCTTTAATGCAGTTTGATTTGTTACAATATCATATGATTTACTAATCTTTATTTAGAGTTATATAACTGTGTTGTATGATCCAGTACCAATTTCAGTATTTTATTGAAAGGATGATAAAGCAGCAGTAACAAAGTGTATCAAAACTTACTTCTTGTGACATTTAGCTACAAAACTGTGAAAATGTCTAACAAAATGGAAACTGAATTTGAAACAAAACTAACTCTTGAGAAATCTGCAGAACATTCCTCATTGCGTGGAGATCAAGATACATGGTTTGATCTTTTTTTTTTTGTATACATCTTCATCTATATATTTTTTCTCAAAGACTGAGGTGATTGTATTATTTATCAAAAATCCAATAGTTTTTGCAGCTATGCATTTTTTCTTTCTTCATCTCTTACGTTCTGGAGAAAAAGGGAAAATTCAGTTACTTCAAAGAGAACTTAATTTTCTAGACTTCCGCAATTTGATTGGAAGATTTTAATTCATTCCAACTAAAGAGCTTCACTGGCAGAATTTCTCGCTAATAATTTTCATATATTTGCATTTGTGTTTCGTTTTCACTCCAGATGTAATGTTTCTCCGAGTTTTAAAGTCAATTGTGTGAAATTTATTATCCTTGATATATGACTACTTGTCATTTTAATTTTATTATTTCCAATATAGGTGTTTTTTTGTTTTTCTTTCTATTTAACTTTTAACGTGTTCAGAAAAGGTAAAGAGGTAACCTTTATAATAATTTCTTAAAAAAATTCCCTTGTGTCTTTCAAAAGTGATGCGTTCCACATTTTTGTTTTAAGTGTGACAAAATCATAATTATTTTGTATCTTTAGTTTGCTTGAAAAACAAATTATTAAGGATCAAAATATTTTGTTACAAAATGTACTTCTAAAAGCTTCTTTCCAATCAATGAAAAGAAATTATTAATAATTCACAAAATATAAAATGGAAATATCTAGTTTTGTATCTTATCTAACTTGTATCTATATGAAATAAGTTTGATCCGGAGGTTTTGAAAGTGAGCTTGAACTCATCTCTAGAAAGTTCAATGGGCAATACTACAGACTAAAGTTTGGTAGAATGAACTCTAAAAAAAAGGCGGGGTGAAAGACTAAGTGGGAAAATCATTTTGTGAATATGTGTACGAATAGAAAAAAATCTTTTATGTTTACATGTGATATTATCATATGAAATAATGTATTTACTAATTTCTTATGAATTAATTTTTTATGCATTTTCTACTTTCTTATGTAATCATTATTTTGTTCCTAGGTTTATTCTGGACCTCAGTGCAATACAGAAGTAAAATCATTAATTCCTGCCACATTATATCACTTTCAAGTTCAGGTAAATTGCATTAATTTTCATAAAGGCCAATCACTTTTATGTTTTTATCTTATTTACTGTAATTTTTTTTAATACAAGAATTAAAATTTTTTTTTTATTTCTTTTCAAATGAAAATTTTTTGAAGGTAAAATTAATGTTTTTAGGCTAATTTTTCAGTGCATTTATCTCATGTTTTCTTAAAATTATTTTCTTATTTTTGTAAGGTTTTGCAAATTGTATTTATTTCTTAATTCAATTACATTCAAATTTCATTATCACATAAATCCTATCTTTAAAAACTTATCCTTTGATAATATCAAAAGTTTTCCTGGGTTTTCTTTTACAACTTGATGGTAATTTTGATATCAAATCATCTTCAGTACTTAATAAAAAAGAGTTATTTTGATAATAGTAAGTTTATTTCAAAAGTGTTCAGTTAAATTAGTTGTTTATACAGTAACAGATTTGCAACTTATAATAACATAGTGATGACAGATCAGGTATGTTCAGAAAAATTTGATAGTTTAGCAAAAGTTTATCACTTTTGCAATAGGTATTTTTTTTATAAAAATACTTATTTCGTCTTTGAATTTCTTAAAAGTTTCTTCAACTGAATTTACTAAAAAAATTCTGAAGAAAACCAATCAAGAAAAATGTGTTGTAGATACACAGCACATGCATCATATCTGCTCAAACAATTTGTTATCTAGTTCTAGTGTTATGTAACTTAGAAGATATTCTTATTTTGATAATCTTAATAAATTCCTCCATTTATTTTTTGGAATTCGCTATTCTGGTTACAATTAGTTAGTATAATTATAATAATTGCCCTTTTCTGTGAGGAAACATTCTGACTTTTTTTATTCCTAGGAAGAACTCTGTAGTTATAATTAAGAAATCAATAAGAAAATATTTTACAGAACCTATTTGTTACAGAAACTAGTGAAATTTTTCTTTAAATCAGTGAAAAAATTAAAAGTTGGGAAATTTAGAATACCAAATAAGGAAATATTGTTAAATAATTGATTAACTGTGAGATTAATTTTTTTTTGTAAATTAGTAATTTATTCTTGGAGTTAATTATTGAAATGTTCCAATTCAGTTTATGAGCAATATTTGGTCATAATCTAATATCAAATTATTTGTTTTGGAGTTGAACTGTATAAAAGTATTTAGCCATGAGAGAGAATCATTGTATATTATCACTTGTCCTCTCCGTGAAATGAATGTTGTAGTGTTTTAGAGTTGGAATTGAGTAGGTTGTCCTACAAAAAATGCCGTTCCTGTTTTACAATTTGTGTTTGTAGCTCTAAACTACAAATTTTGTTTTCTGAAAGTAGTGTTAAAGAAAAGTTTCTTCAAACCTAGAATTTTTTAACTTTCATTCTCTCTCGAATGTTAAGTTAGAAAGGATATTGAAATAGAGTTCAACTACAGAATGCTACATTAATTTTATGGGAACCAGTTAAATTTTATTTTGCTTTATTTCTAAAAGCTGGTTAGTTTTTTTTTCTGAATTAATGTGAAATATTACACTATCCTAAAGCTTTGAATTTCCTAAGGATTTTTAAATTATTTTATTTATCTAGACAAACGAGATAATTTATATTTTGTTTTTTAGGCTGTTAATTCTGCTGGGGTAGGTCCTTTTAGTGATGTCATATCCTGTCAAACACTTCCTTCATCACCCGGAGTGATATCTACTGCAACCATTAAAATATCTGTTGCTGCTTCTTCTATATCTCTCTCATGGAAAGAGCCCAATAATCATGGCTCACCCATTCTTAGTTACAATGTAGAAGTTGGGGATGTATTATACACAACAGAAGGAGATAAATCAGAAATTTGCATCGAAGGATTGGTACCTGAAACTCAATACAAGTGATTAAAAAATTTTGTCTCATTTTTGTCCTTCTAAATGTTTAAATATTTAGTTGTACTGATATTCAACTTTACTATTTATTTGCAATTTAATTCTCTTATTTCCTAAAATTTTTGTTAAAAAAATATTTATATTTCCAGAGTACGTGTTCAAGCAATAAACAGTGTTGGTCCAGGACCTTTCAGTTCACCCATGAAAATTGTTACCAGAGGTTTACCGCCACTGCCTCCTCTTCTTGAATGCTCTGGTTGTTCTCACAATAGTTTGCGTCTGAAGTGGGGCGATGGAAAGAATTTGGATCTAAAAAATTACACTTTAGAATTAGAAAGTCCACAATCAAAAAGGTAAGTTATATGCATTGCACTTGTAGCTGTTGGCTCTAGTATTTATGACTACCAATATTAATGCTTTAAATTATTGTTTTTTCTGTTGTAGATTTATACCAGTTTATCAAGGAACTGGACATACGTTTAAGGTGACTAAGTTGCAAGAAATGACATCTTATAATTTTCGAATATATGCTTCGAATGAAGAAGGAGATGGCCCTTCTTCTGATGTGTTCACTTTTACAACGCAAAGGGCATTACCTCCGGCCGTGAAAGGTATTGGTGTAGATTTTTATGTTTGTTAATTTCTTTGTAACATAATTTAAGAACTGTTGCATCTACCAATTTATTTTGCTGGTGTTTTTTTAACACAAGGTGTGATAACATACATTTCAGATTTTTAAACTTCATTTAAATATTGGTTTAATACACCAAATTTTTACGCAGAAATATTTGTGATGAGAATTTCTTGATCCGAAAGAGTTACCTCTTACTCCTTTTTTGTATGTGCTACAACCAGGATTCTTAAAATTGCCTTGACATCCGTCGTATAATATTTATCTATGGTATAATAATTATAATATAGATGTTTAATCTATGTTTCAAGTGTGTAAGATTATGAAACAAAAACTATGGAAGTAAGTAGTGAGAATATAAACATAGTTAATACTAATCATGCTTAAAATCCACTCAAGTATTTTAATTGTAATTGATAAAAAGGTATTAATATGAATATATAATAGATTTCAATAGATATAATATGAGAGAAATTATAAATAGAGAGAAATTACTTTTCTTATTCAAAGGTATTGCAAGTTTGCTTTGTCCAAGCAATGGTTGAGCTTTCTGCTTATAATCTAACTTTTTAAAATGTTGATATAACCTCTCTTATTTGCTTTTTTTTTCGATATTTATATTTTTACATTTACTCTTTAGTCCATAGATTGCTAAAAATCAAGCTTTCCATAAATTAGCTAAAAGTATGAGAGCCCTTATGTCTTTTTTTACGTTGGACTAGGTACTCATATCTAGCCTGCCTACAAAATTCGATCAACTGTTCCATAAATACTTTTTTTCTTTTGGATATCAACAGATTACTTTAAAGGAGGAATATTAAACTTGTGTTCAATAAAAAAAAATGCAAATTGCTATTATATAGTTCATTTTTGTACTATTTTTCCAATTTTATATGTAACGATCTTAGAAGAGTACATTTAAGTTGTGATTTGAGAGGGACATATTCTACATATTAAGGTTTTTACAAACAAAAAAAAACTTGAAGTTTATATTATATTACATTTTATAGGTGATTTACTTACGGAATTTTTTTTTATTAAATATTTTCTTATTTGTCAGTTTTTCCTAAAATAATCTTACACAGTTTGGAAATAAAAAATTGTCTCAGACCCTTCCTTGTGTATATTACCTATTATAAACATTTACCAACTATTTATTACCATTTTACTCAAATTTGAGACTTTTTATTGAAAGTTTTTACTTTAAAATTTGTAAATTTTAATATGCTATTTATTTTTTACAGCTCCTAAAGTTACAAGCATAACAGAAAATTCTTGCTTCGTTGAATGGTCACCAGCCAAACCTATAGGAGATGACATGCTATCTTATAAACTGCAGCTTGGCACAAAGGAATCAGATTTCCATGTGGTAAGATTATTTTTAGATGTGGCATTTTTTTTAAATGATAAAATGGTTTTGTCATTTATTTCAATTGATTTCATTTATAGAAAGAATCTTTTGTTTGACTTTATGAAAAATATTTTATTTTTGAAGCTCATACAAAACAAGGGTGAGGGTTAAAGATATAATTTCATGAGTTGCATATTATCAATGCCTTAATTTATGATCTATGTACTTTGTTTCACTTGTGGTTCTGTGTTTATCAATGGCTTTCAAAGGGAAAAAAAGTTTTTTCTTATACACTTGGTTTTAAGTAGTATATGTCATATTTGTTAAAACTAAAATAATTTATGTAACCTGCAACAGTTATTAATAAAAGCCACTTTTTATAAATATAAAAAGTTAAATTATATTTGTTAACAAAGATACTATAATATGAGCTTATAGCAGATTGCAGGTAATAAAGGGAAACTAAGTTATCTAGCTTACAACCAACAGAAAAAGTGGCAAGTTAACACATTACAATGTTATTCTTTTTAACATTTTTTGTGAGTTTGGAAATAAACTCTTATATGTGAAAGACTAGAAGTCTAGATCCTTTAATCCAATGGAGCTGCTTTCTACTAATGAACATAAGTTAGCAACACTTATTTCATATAGACAAGTTATTTAAATTTATATTTTTGCTTATATATGAAATTTTATTCATATTAAGCTTGAATAAGACATGTTTATTATTTAAAAGTTTGACTGATGAAATTATTATTTATATTGTGGTATTTTTAAAAATAAACATTTTCAGTTTACAATAGTCATATTTGTGCTATGAAATTTCATGCAATACCAGTGGTTGAAGAAGCAGGGGTTTTAATGTCAGAAAGGTCCAGAAAATTATTTCAATCTGCGGAATTATACTCTCTATTTATACTATTTTACAGGGTGCGTAGCGTTTGTAAAAAGTACTTAAAGGTGCTCTTTTGGGGATTTCGTTTTTAAAAGCTTTTAAAGGTGCTTTTTTCAGCTGGTGTTTTTTAAAAGTGCTTTTTTTTTCGAATAATTTTTTTCCCCTTTAGTGATATCTGGTGGATCTCATGCATTTCACGAAAAATGGGGAGTTTGCTACGTAATCATTCACGCGGACTTCATGTCGTACCCACATTATGACTTGCGCATGCACGCGCACTTGAAACCGAAATCCGAGTGCTCCAATTCGGATAGAGAATATCAGATCCTTATGAAATCTTTTTCTTTTTAATTTTATTCTTGTTTATTTTATTTTACTTCTAACACTTTTTTGACGTAGGGGGTAAGGGTACTTTTGTTCTGAGTTCATGATCAAGTTGAATTCACTCGGTGATGTGGGAAAGTACTGATTGTTTCGATTTACGTCCGTTTCTTTTTGGGTTTTTTTTTAAGGCTAAAACTGTTTATAAAAAGTTTTTGTTTTTCAATAATATCATTGATTGAATATGAATTTTTTGAGTGCTTGAAAATTTTTGTAAAGTGCTGGAAAAGTTTTTAAAAAGTGCTTATTTTTGATTCAAAGATTTGGCTACGCACCCTGTTTTAATATGGGAGATGTTTTTAAATTTTCATCGTAGTGAACAATATTACTGATAAGTTTTAAAACTGTGTGGTAAAAAGGTAAAATGTGCTGCTTAGTTAAGAGAGAGGTAATAGCTTCTGGGCCTTAGGATGCTGACCCTTTCTAAATAGATATCAATCTGTTGTTATACATAATAAATAACATATTTCTCAGATAAATATGAACTGAATTTTAGAATATACTGATAATTGTTAGTTAGAAGCTATTCTAAATTAGTAATCAAGATTGTAAAACAATTTTGCTTTTTATGAGTTTTTATTTTTGTCATAAAATTTCATAAACCTGTCTTGTTCTTAAATAAGAAATATTTTTTTAATAGTTTTACACTGGCATTCAAACTGGATTCACTGTTCATAACCTTGTGCCAGGAACAGAGTACTCTGTTCGTGTAGCAGCTGTGAGGCATTGTGGGGATGGAGAACTTCCTGGTCCTTTTAGTCCATGTACAGTGTTTTGCACAATCTCTAAGGCCTCTCCAGAAGCTCATGCTCCAAGAATGTCGACTCTCGTCAGCACTTTTAAAAATCGTGAGCCCCTTACAGACCAGCAATGGGCCGTTATTATACTGTGCGCCTTTACTTTCATTGCTATCTGTGTTGCCATTATCATTCAGCAAGTTCTTTCCTACACAACGTCTTAGCAGTAGGTGAAAAGAAATTTTTTTTGTCAACATTCCAAACTTTCTAACCTTTTCCATTTCCCTGATGTGTATTTTTGAATATAGATTTTCCATATTTGTATATAAATATTATATATATATATATAAATATATCAAATATATGCTGTATATGTGTACATGTTTTTGATTCATTAGCAAAAAAAATTTATTTTTTCTTGAATGAACTGAGCTTGAAAATTACTGGAGAGAGAAATAAAACTAATATTATTATTAGGAATTAAAAAAAAAATCCTTTTTTTGAGAGAAACTAAAATGTCCTTGATTGACATTATCAAGAAAAATATTTTTATAGAAAATAAATTCTTTTTTATAAATGTATGTATACACATTCCTATTTCAGCTACCTCTCACGTTTCTATTTGTCCCAGATTCTTGGGGGAGAGGTTCCTGTCTTAGTCCCTTTTTTGTGTGCAATGTGTTTTAGAATACCCATATATGGTGCTGTATGCGTGTGTCATAGTATTAACTCCCTCTATGGAGAATGCATGCAATTGTCAAGGTGCTGGCTTATTTAAAAAAAAAAAATACAACACAAAAGAAAAAATGCTTATATACCACTTTATTTCTGATCGCACATTTTTTTTTAAACTTTCATTTCTATTTTAACTTTTTTTTTGTTTTCTTCATACCCATCTATTTATAAACGTTATGTGTTTGTTTTTGTCTCACAGTAATGTTGGATCTTATATTTGTGTTTGAATATGTGATATTTGACTTATAAATATTTATCGTATCTGATTTCTAAGTATTTGCATTGTATCTACATGATGTTGTATAGTTTCTACCAAAATCAGCCGATATGTTTCGAATTTTGTTTTTAAAGCATTATGAAAATCTCTTTAGTGCAATAAAAAATTTTAATATTGACATGCAATAATTCCTGTGTGTGGACATATAAAAAATATTATTTTTTGCCTGGTATAGGAAATGTAAAATAAGAAAATATAATTTATCTTTAAGTGCTGAACGAAATCGAATATACTGCAAAAATGTGTATATACTAAAAATTGGAACATTTTCTGTTATTTATTTTACTGGTAATACAGACATGCTGTGGTAATTTCTTTGTGACTATATATTAAAGCATAGAAAATATTAGTCTGTGCGTGATATAAAATACAAAATACTGGTCTATACTCACATAATTATTCAAAAATAGCAACTATTATATTAAATAGCAATAATTATTCAAAAGAAGCAACTGGTGCAATTAAATTACCTAATTTTTAAGCTTGCACTTCGTTAAATTAAACATGTCATAATTTCTCCTTATAAACAAAAACTTCTTTTTAAGTATATCAAACTGTTTAATTGAAAATTTAAAATAAAGACAATATGCATCTTACTACTAAAATTAATCTCATCTTGAAAAATAGAAAGTGTCATAATTAATTTGATAAAATGATTTTTTTAAAAATTAAATATCATTAAAACCCTTTAGTTAACTATCACTGATATTTCATAGCACCTGCTCAGAGCAAAACTTTAGTCTAATTGGACCTCTTTGTTTACAATATATTAAAGTACTCTTTATGATTCTAGTACTTTTTGTGTAGTTTGTTCACAAAGAAATTATTTATATTATATATAGATTAATCAATGTATCTCATGAAAGCACAATTTGCTATTATTAAACTCTACTTAATTATATTTTTTTGAAGCTTCATACTTAGTTATACTGAGAGTATATACTTAAATTATATATCTTTTTAGAGTAAAATGATTTACAACTGCAATATTATTAGAGTCATTAAAGGATTACATAAATTTAAGGCTATTGAAGTATTTTTGAAAAGAAAGATATATTTATGTCTCGATTTTGTATTTACATTTTTGTTTCCAAAATTAATAACTCTGCTTTAGCTTTACTTCTTATTTTATGTTAACTTTTGTTTAAAGCATGAGCTCAGTTCTTATTAACATTGTTCTATGTATTTTTTTAAATGTAATTTTCCATCATCTTAAAACATTTCTGAAAATGTAAGTGTTCTTTAACTTTATGTTGATATGATGTACTATTTTTTTATTAGAGAAATAAGGTAAGCTGTGTGACATGGAGCTAGTGGAACACATTCCAATTCCCTTTAACTTTCAAACTGTGAACATTCACTTGACTGCTGACTTTTTGAACGATCGGGTCCACGATAAGCATACATTCCATGTGACACTATTATAAACGTTTGAACATGTGACATTTTGGGTAATTTGGTCCGTGTGACATAATTCTTTATTTGGTAACAATTATTTTTCAATGTTTAAAATAATTCTGTTAGAAAATCAGAACCTATATAAAATTCAACAAATAATAGCATTCAACTCATTGTTTTCAGAAACTTATTGCTCTGTATGTAGCTAAACCAGTTAGTGTAATAAGAAATTTCATTTGAACCTAATATTTACAGTAAAAAATTGGCATTTTATTAGTTTACCATTATGAGTGAAAAGTTTGTTATTAAAATGGTTTATTTGACTCTAAATCATTAGCATCATAAAGAGAGAGATCTTTTTAGCATTTAAACAAATGAAACTTTAACTATTTGAAGAGTTTGGAGTGCTCCCCATTGGTTCTATGCTGTATAACTTGCCTGTTATCTAAATGTACATTTAGTTCTAACTCTTTCAAATTAAGTGAAAATATATATTTTTTAATTTCTTTATATTTTTTGTACTGAAAAATATATTTAAAAGTTCAGTTTTTAATATTAAGTTGGCTGATCAAATGCCTAATGATTTTTGATTGTGGTTCTAATAACATTCGAAGGATATAATGCAGGTATTTTCCGATCTTTAGACATTTTTGGGCATTTTATGTTGAGTGTAATTTAGGAAGTGTAATAACTAATCAAAGTTGTATTCTATGCAATTTCATTTGTTGTTCATTAGCTGGTAGAAATGGTTGATTTTATTTTGATAACTTATAGCTCTATTAAAGTTATATTTATTAGAAAATTTAACAATATTTATTAGTTTTAATAATTTTAATAGCTCGTTAATGTTAAATATTTGTTTTTAGCTTACATGAATTTTAATTTGACTTCCAAGAGAAATTTGCAAAGTAATCATCAATTTAGATCTTTGCTATTATTTATTACAAAATGTTTTAATGCATTCATGTCTTGATGACTTAAAATTTATCATTATTAAGTGTCTTTAACTTTGTGATATAGCTGATGACTTTATTTAAAGTGTGAATCAAGTCTTGTTCTTATACTTGAGAAATGCATTTCTTTTTTGTATATCAATTTGAAAATCTGGTTATCTTCATATTATATATTTATGTATAAGTGTATGATTTTATTATAAATTTGTTATTATATATGATTTGTTGGGAATATCTATATGATCAAAATAATTTTATTTGTTGCTATACAGTTATGTGCTGGCACTTGTATAAATAAATTTTTTTCTTTTGTTCGTAACCCTGTCTTTATTTATTCCTTCTGCATACTTAAACTCTCGCTTATTGACATATTATCAATATCCAGCAGAGAAAGCTACCAGTACTATCTAAACAAAGCATGGATACTTAATAGTTTTCTTTTTAAATTCTATTTTAATTTTATTGTAATCAATAAGAATGTACTTTCAGTAGTAATTAGTGTATTAATAAACCGCACTTGCTAGTTTTGATAACTATACAAGGGTTGCTCAAATGAAGATTGGACATGTTAATAGTGTCAGAAATACGATAGCAATAACTTACCTTCATTCAGAGTTATAAGGGAAGGTATGCACTGTTATGTAATTGACTTATCATTGCATATAACTGATAAACCATTTCACCTGAGAGCAATTAGATGGGAATGTAAAGTCAAGCTAAGAAGGATGTAATTAGAACAGAGCAAGGTGAAGTAATGTGATTTTAGTTTAGGTGATTTCATACTTTTTTTCTCTCTTGTTAAAGTGCTGCACAGATGCCACGGGTTGTAACTTATCCATTACTTCTAATTATTTTATCAAAAGCAGCAGCAGATTCATGGGAGATCATGGTGCTTGCTTGCCCTGTGTTTTTACAAATTGATATTGAGTTGGTTCATAAAAACTTTTATGCTATTTCAGGACCCGCGCTTAAGATTCGCCTCCTCGCCAAAGGTGATAAAATCGTAAATTTGGCTAAAGTATTGGCGAATGATTTTTTCCTCCGAAAAGAAAAAAATAGATTTAACTTGATCCTCAAGATGAATTTTTCTAAACTAACTGCGGGAGAAAAAATTAATTATAAAAATAAAGACTTGCATTTGGCGAATACTTTCGAAAATTGGTGAATGCTTTTGATACTTGTGTAATTTACTGGCTAATAACTTGAAATCGAATGCCCGGGCCCTGCATTTATTCACAGCCGTTTTGTCTTTGGCTGCATTCGCGCAAGACTCGCCTTCTGTCGCTGAAAATTTTTCTAATTTGAGTTGTTTGGTTATGAGCTCATACATCTTGACGTTTTTTGCATTCACTTCAAATACTCTCAGGTGTACTGGTTAATCAGTAATATGCAATCCGCTATTCAAATGGATATATCAGTTTAAGCACTCTTCATACTGGATGAATGGAAGGCTACTATCACTTCTGTATTTCTGATGCTATCACTTTCCATTTGGCGAACTTTTAGATAAATAACTTTGATTCTCAAAAGTAAGATGATTTTACATAACTATATTTGACTTTACAGAGTAAAAACAGTAACTTTTAATAGCTGTATTATTTATTTGGTTCCTAAATTTTATTTTAAATTTATTAACATCTTTGCAGGTTACAGTCAACTGGTCGTATAGCCCTGATTTCTTAGTGGCAAAAAGTTCCTTATGAATATTTTTCTTTTTCGAATTAAGCTTTAAAGATTATCGCAAAAGTTGTGAGCTGTTCTTTTAAATGCTTTTAAATCATTTTGTAGGGAAAAAAAAGCTTTGCATTAATGTTGAATATAACAAGTTTTTGTAAGTAAAAATTTTGCGCTTCTTCAGAATATAATTAGATGAAGCTCTTTTTTTTCTTCTTCAATAACTGTTNCTGATTTTTTTTTTTTTTTTTTTACCAAATGACGTGTTATTAAGAATGCGAAGAAAATACACTAAGTTTTTTTCATCTTTTAATCCAGGAGTCTCTGAACTACTTCTCTCTTGACAAAAGTCGCCTTGCCAGTATCTTTCGTCCGTTCTAACGTGCCATTTGTCTGGCCCGTTACAATTTATTTTTATTATATATGTATTTTATAATTTACAATATGAGTAAATGTAGCTATATTAAAAAATCGTAAAGACCGCTGCCGCTATTTTGGGTGTTCAACATAACGTTATATTTTCTTTTACACTGCGCAAAAACTATAAAATTAAAATTATGAAAGATTGTAGAAAAAAAGTTCAGAGTAAGCAATTTCATTAAAAAAATTAATATTCGATAATTAGTCAGAAAATTATTAATTGTTAAACTTGTCGTATAAAATACCGTACGGGCTTCTCTGTAAACCACAGGAATCCGGCTACAAAGTAGAAATTTGACATGCTGAAAAGGTCAGTTTTGTTTGTGAACATTTAATTTTTTTGAAATTTATTGTGTTTTAAAGTGCTTTTTTCCCGAATTTCTTCTCATTTTTCTTTGTTAAATTTTGTTTTACTGCGCAAAAACTATTAGATTTAAGAATTTGAAATTACAATGGGCCTTAAAAAATGTACAGGTAGAACGACGGTAAAAAAAGATTAATATTCTACTATAAGTTCGAGAATTATTAACTCTAACAAGCATAAACAAATTGTATCAAGCTTGAAAACAAAACAATGTATAAAAATTCATTTAAATAAATTGTTCTACTAGAGCCAAACTAAATTTTGACAATTCTGGTGTTTTATGTTTTCTGGTGGTGGTTTAAAAAAAATGTCTTTCCTCTCAAAGAGTTGACGGATAAATTTGTGAAAAAATACCATGTTTGATCTATCTGCAGTAGTTTGTAACCCGTCGAATGCAACTACGAAGTTAAAATTTGAAAACGCCATTTTCTTTTGCGAACTTCAATTTCTGCTAGAATTATTCGAAATTCAAGTTCATTTTTGAGATTTTTTTTTCTGTTTTCTTTTTTTAAATTGACTATCCATTGTTGTAAAAAATTTAGTTTTCCTTCACGAGATTTTTATTTTATAAGTTTGTGCTCAAGTAGATTTTAATCAAAAGTAGATAAAAAAAGAAAGAAATTACATATTGTCTGATATAATCTTATTAGCAGTCCCGGGAGTAAATTTTAAAAAAATAATCCAGGTTAGAAATATATTATTCAATAGCATAAAAATTTAAGCTTGCTGAGAAAAACCGAATGCAGATTTGAAATCAGTGATGCGAAAGTATCTAAGATGTATTCAAAAATCTGATGCAACGGAGAACCTACTATCTGTTGTGAAAGTCTTTTCTTTGAATTCTGATACAGCTTTAGGAAGATATCTGTTCACAACATCATCCATTTTACAGTTTCTACAGATGATTGAAAAGAAACTTGATACACTTAACATTAATTTATTTTCATTAACTAATTAGATAACAGATAATGTGGTTACTTCACGCGACGCAAGAGTCACACAATATTTATACTTTGTCAAGATAAAATATCATCTTCAGCGGAATAATCACCAAGATTTCGTAGCTTCCAGGTAGTGGACCTCGAGAAACTGAAGAAAAAAAAAAGAGCACAGTAAGAGATCAATTATAAGGACATAACTCCTAAGCACTCTCAGACAAATAGAAAGTTTAAAATCGCTTTGATGATTATTGTTGCCAAGGCAGATCACGATACAGAAATATCCCCTTCGTCGATACTATCAACAAAGTTGATTTTCACTCAACATACTATTTTCAAAATTAATTTTGGATTTATGAATTAGATGGCCAGGTTGATAAGTCGCTAACTATTATAATAAAAGAAAAATAGCATTTCAGAATGAATAAAAGTTTTTAATAAGTTCTTTTGATTAAGTTAAATGTGGTTTCCACAATTTAATGATGTAAAATAAAGAAAAAGAATTGCAAACCATTTATTAATTGATGAAATAATGCACTATGAAGACTTGTTAGTGCACATTATTATAATCAATTAAGTATTATTGAAGTCAATAATAGTTTTGACATTTCTTTGCACCAAAACAGATAAATAACTATATTATAACTATTTTATATTTTAATAATGATATTAATTCTCATCTATTCCCTATTAATAAGAAATAATTCAGACATTTAAAAATATTTTAATCAATAATAAAAAATGAAGAAAAATATTACGAAATGACTAATTAAATTATTACTATTTAAGAGAAAGTATAAATCCTAAATAATTTGAAAATTATTTGATTCTTCTTGTAATAAATAATTATTCAATATTTAATGCACTTTTAAAGTGATTTTGTGAAAAGTTTTTATTATCTGCAAACTAAGATTGAAACATACCCTACCAAAAAGATTATTCAAGGCATAACCTCATCATTCATAATATTTGGGCATGGAAGTTTCCTTTTTTTTCTGCGGAGGTGCAGAAGTAAAAATGGAAGGAATTGCTCTCTTGATTAATTTCCTTTTCTTGTTTCCTTTGTGAGTAAACATATGGCTTGAAATGAACAGAACAAACACGCATATGCTTCGATATTGATGTGCATCTGGTATCATCACGGCGGATTTTTGAGACCCATTCTTGTCGAAGTCTTTTATCAGAAGGAATCAAATGCATTGAAATATTATCCTAATGGATAATATTTCAATACATTTGATAAGGCACTGTTTTCGCATTTCGGCAAGCAGCAATTCTGAACAAAGTTTTTTTTTTTTGACTTGAATGAAAAAACAACATCACAGTTTTAACATAGCATTCAATGCAAATATCTATTCAATATTTCCCACAATAAGCAAACAGTTATTCGAATAGTTAGCTTTACAACTCTATAAAATGTAAAAAACGTGTAATTGTTATTGCATCACAACCCATGACTGGAAATGTCATTACACGCGCCAATGAACTTATTGTTACAGCACACTTAAATCAGTTCTTTTATTTATCTAAATTATCCTAAATTTATGTTGTTTTTTTTTAAAATAATTATTAGGAAAAATTGTTATCAGTCCATATTTTCCTGTTTTATCGCAGTTTAGCGATTAATCCGCTGAGCTCGCCATAATGGTGGCCCCCCTTACGAAAATTTAGTGTATTTTTGAGGTGTTATTGAGGTATATTTGAAGTTTGAAAGAAAACAACCATGAAAATTATACCTCATAAAGGTAGTAAACGAGGTTGTTTTACATACACTTCAGCTCAGTTTGAGGTTGTTTAAAATTCACTTCATATCAACCAGGCTGATGAGGTGTTTTTCAGGGTATGCAGGCTGTTTTTTTCACACTTATAATAATAATAAATTTATTATAATAAATTTATGAGGTATAAAAAAATTTACCTTACTTCAACTAAAGAGAGTCAGGAATTTATTGAGGTGTGTGAAATCACATTTTATTTATACCTAAGCTTATTTGGAGGTTGTTGAAAGTTCACTTCATATTAACTATCTCACTTCACAAAGTTCCGTGCGAGCCGCCGAATGTTATGTATATTGACAATCGAAAGTCTATGCGAAATTCGGTGAGTGTGTTTGACATTTATCGATTTAGTTTTATCATTTTTAATCAGATATGCTTCAATTTTCAAACTTAAATTTTGTTATTTTTGTTTTAAAGACGCGGCCTGATCTTATGTGATTAAATTGTGATTAAATAACTAGAACTTTACTTTCAACCTTAGATATTTTTCTAAGTTATAGAACAGAGCAGATGGAAATTGAAATATTTATCCTAAATGAAATGGGACATTTTGTTCTAATTTTTTAATGTACTGATATATCAAAAAACGTTTGAGTAAAAAACTTTTCTCTGCCTCATCATCAAAAATATCATACATCGTGTTATTTATTTTAAAATAATAGTTGATTGTACATATTGATAGGTATTTATTATATATTCATTGATATATTTTAATAAGCCTTGAAGAGATTACATTCTAAATAAATTATGCAATGTGTGTAATAGATTTGCATATTATACAAAAATTTTTTATGTATTATATAGTTACGTATTACAATTGAGTAAAATGGTTTTTTTTTTTTAAAGAAAGCACATAATAAATATTGTCATCTTTAATTATTTTATTTTTAATTTTGTTTCTAGAAATTCGAAGCATTTTTGTTTGAAAGTTATATGCATTTTTCTTTTTTTAATTTCTCCCGCTGAGATATGTTTTCTCATTTAAACATATGATTGTAGCAACTAACAATTAATTTTATTCTGTTCGGTATTATAAGTTATATAGGGAATATTTCACTGAACCTCTTTTAAAAGCATTATTTCAAATCGTTCTCTTAAAACTGACATTTTCCTCTCATAAAATTGTTCACAACTTTAGACAACCAGCCAGTGGCTAGTTTTATTCGATTGGGTGTAAAAAATGCATAAAAATTGCTACCTAACTTTGAAATTTTATGTGTTTAAACGATTGTTGATTCTTGATTACATTGATTAAAATATTAAAATAAATAAATTCTTTGCGAAACTCTGATGTGATTGACAATTACGAAAGTCCTTTTCAGAATCAACGTCAAAAATTGATTAAAAACTATTAGTTTTATGAAAGATGACAAAAAGTTTAAAACAATAGACTAATCTTTTTGAGTCCATGTAAAGATTTGTAAGAAAAAGGAAGGAAAATCTAATTTTCAAACTTATGTTGTTGTTGTTTCTAATACAACTTGCCACACGGGCAAGCCTGCTTGGTGAAACCGAGCAAATTTAAGGCGGAGTGCTCGTTTCTTGTTTTTCAGTAGCGCCATCTATGGCCAAGAATTCGACTTCTGCCACTCCATACGTCGCACCCGTTTATAGGGCGGACCCATTCATGCATCCATTCATTCATCCACAGATCGTAATTTTGACCTGAATCAGAGAACGATCGATATCCAATCCAGTACCCCCAGATGCATTGATTTGTTATGGGAACATGGAGGACTTTTGCGACTCGACAGATTTAACGTGCATCAGTCACTTTACTACACGGGGAGTCTTCGGCCGGCGAGGTTCGAACCCACGAACTCTCGGACATGGGCCCAGCGCCCTACCGACCAGGATGTCCCGGCATCAAACTTATAAGTACCATAATGAAAGATGTAGGTTCAATTATAGGAAATAAAAAGTGTTAAAATTTCCTAATAAGATTGGAATTAAATGTTTGAATTTCTGTAAAGGTTTATCGCAGTACTTTTTTCAGTGTATTTTATTTTGTGGCTGTGGTACGTGTCACACTTTTAAACCATTTTAGCTATGAATATTGAATAAAAATGGCAGAAGTTGGAATAACATTTATCTGAAAACGATAGTTAATTTCATCTAGTTAATTTAAATCATGGAAAAAACTGTTTTGTGTAATTAATTGCGTTGAAGATCATATGATTCTAATATTTTAAAACNACCTGGGGGGGGGGGAGAATCACAGTAAGAGACCAATTATAAGGGCATAACTCCTAAGCACTCTCAGACAAATAGAAAGTTTAAAATCTATTTGTGCTTTGATGATTATTGTTGCCACAGCAGAACACGATAAGGAAATATTCCCTTCGTCGATACTATTTTCAAAATTAATTTCGGATTTATGAATTAGATGACCAGGTTGATAAGTCGCTAGCCATTATAATAAAAGAAAAGTGGCAATGCAGAATGAATAAAGATTTTTAATAGGTTCTTTTCATTAAGTTAAGAGTGGTTTCCACAATTTATTGACGTAAAGTAAAGAAAAAGAATTACAAACCATTTATTAATTGATAAAATAATGCACTATGAAGACTTTTTAGTGCACATTATTAATTATACTGAAGTATTATTGAAGTCAATAATAGTTTTGACATTTTTTTACACCAAAACAGATAAATAACTATATTATGACTATTTTATATTTTAATAACTAAATTAATTATCATCTATTCCCTATTAATAAGAAATAATTCAGACATTTAAAAATATTTTAATTAATAATAAAAAATGAAGAAAAATATTAAGAAATGACTAATTAAATTATTACTATTTAAGAGAAAGTATAAATCCTAAATGTGAAAATTATTTGACTCATCTTATAATAAATAACTACTCTATATTTAATGTACTTTTAAAGTGATTCTGTAAAAAGTTTTTACTATCTGCAAACTAATATTGAAACATACCCTACCAAAAAGATAATTCAAGGCATAACCTCTTCATTCATAATATTTGGTATCTCTCTTGGGAGTGGAAGTTTCCTTTTTTTCTGAGAAGGCGCAGAAGTAAAAATGGAAGGAATTGTTCCCTTGATTAATTTCCTATTCTTGTTTCTTTTGTGAGTAAGCAGATGGCTTGAAATGAACAGAACAAACACGCATATGCTTCGATATTGATGTGCATCTGGTATCATCACGGCGGATTTTTGAGACCCATTCTTGTCGAAGTTTGTTATCAGAAGGAATCAAATGCATTGAAATATTATCCTAATGGATAACATTACTCCATAAAATGCGAAAAACGTACGTTGTCATTGCTTCACAGCCCGTGACTGGAAATGTCATCACACGTGCCAATGAACTGATTGTTCGAGCACACTTAAATCAGTTCTTTTATTTATCTAAATTTTCCTAAATTTATGTTTTTCTTAAATAATTATAAAGAAAAATTGTAATCGGTCCATATTTTCCTGTTTTATCGCAGTTTATAGCGATTAATCCGCTGAGCTCGCCATAATCGTCGCCACCCTTACGAAAATTTAATGTATTTTTGAGGTGTTGAGGTTATTTTGAAGTATATATGAGGTATATTTGAAGTTGGAAAGAAAACAACCATAAAAATTATACCTCATAAAGGTTGTAAACGAGGTTGTTTTACATACACTTCAGCTCAGTTTGAGGTTGTTTTAAATTCGCTTCATATCAACCTGGCTGATGAGGTGTTTTTCAGGGTATGCAGGTTGTTTTTCTCACTCTTATAATAAATGGGGTATTTATGAAGTATAAAAAAATTTACTTTACTTCAACGAAAGAGAGTTAGGAATTTATTGAGGTGTGTGAAATCACATTTTATTAATACCTAAGCTTATTTGGAGGTTGTTAAAAGTTCACTTCATCTTAACTATCCCACTTCCCAAAGTTTCCGTGCGAGCCGCCGAATGTTGACAATCGAAAGTCTATGCGAAATTCGGTAAGTGTGTTTGACATTTTTTTGATTTAGCTTTATCACTTTTAATCAAATATGCTTCAATTTTCATACTTAAATTTTATTATTTTCGTTTTAAAGACGCGGCCTGATCTTAAATGATTAAACTGTGGGTTCATCACTAGAACTTTACTTTCAACCTTAGATATTTTTCTAAGTTATAGAACAGAGCAGATGGAAATTGAAATATTTATCTTAAATGAAATGGGACGTTTTGTTCTAATTTTTTAATCTACAAATATATCAAAAAAACTTTTTTCTGCCTCATCATCAAAAATATCATACATCGTGTTATTTATTTTAAAATAATAACTGATTGTACAGCTCGATAAGTATTTATTATGTATTCATTGATATATTTTAACAAACCTTGAAGAGATTGCATTCTAAATAAATTATGCAAGATTTGCATATTATACATAATTTTTTTTATGGATTATAAAGTTATGTATTACAATTAAGTAAAATGTTTTTTTTTTTTTTTTTTTTTTTAAGAAAACACATAATATATATTGTCATCTTTAATAATTTTATTTTTAATTTTGTTTCTAGAAATTCGAAGCATTTATTGTTTTAAAGTTACATGAATTTTTTTTTTTTTTTTTGAATTTCACCCGATGAGATATGTTTTTATATTTAAACAAATAATTGTAGCAACTAACAATTGGTTTTATTTTGTTCGGTATTATAAGTTATATAGGGAATATTTCACTGAACCTCTTTTAAAAGCATTATTTCAAATCGTTCTCTTAAAACTGACATTTTCCTCTCATAAAATTGTTCACAACTTTAGACAACCAGCCAGTGGCTAGTTTTATTCGATTGGGTGTAAAAAATGCATAAAAATTGCTACCTAACTTTGAAATTTTATGTGTTTAAACGATTGTTGATTCTTGATTACATTGATTAAAATATTAAAATAAATAAATTCTTTGCGAAACTCTGATGTGATTGACAATTACGAAAGTCCTTTTCAGAATCAACGTCAAAAATTGATTAAAAACTATTAGTTTTATGAAAGATGACAAAAAGTTTAAAACAATAGACTAATCTTTTTGAGTCCATGTAAAGATTTGTAAGAAAAAGGAAGGAAAATCTAATTTTCAAACTTATGTTGTTGTTGTTTCTAATACAACTTGCCACACGGGCAAGCCTGCTTGGTGAAACCGAGCAAATTTAAGGCGGAGTGCTCGTTTCTTGTTTTTCAGTAGCGCCATCTATGGCCAAGAATTCGACTTCTGCCACTCCATACGTCGCACCCGTTTATAGGGCGGACCCATTCATGCATCCATTCATTCATCCACAGATCGTAATTTTGACCTGAATCAGAGAACGATCGATATCCAATCCAGTACCCCCAGATGCATTGATTTGTTATGGGAACATGGAGGACTTTTGCGACTCGACAGATTTAACGTGCATCAGTCACTTTACTACACGGGGAGTCTTCGGCCGGCGAGGTTCGAACCCACGAACTCTCGGACATGGGCCCAGCGCCCTACCGACCAGGATGTCCCGGCATCAAACTTATAAGTACCATAATGAAAGATGTAGGTTCAATTATAGGAAATAAAAAGTGTTAAAATTTCCTAATAAGATTGGAATTAAATGTTTGAATTTCTGTAAAGGTTTATCGCAGTACTTTTTTCAGTGTATTTTATTTTGTGGCTGTGGTACGTGTCACACTTTTAAACCATTTTAGCTATGAATATTGAATAAAAATGGCAGAAGTTGGAATAACATTTATCTGAAAACGATAGTTAATTTCATCTAGTTAATTTAAATCATGGAAAAAACTGTTTTGTGTAATTAATTGCGTTGAAGATCATATGATTCTAATATTTTAAAACCTGCCGCTATAATTGTAAATATAACTTTGTTTCAATTCCTATTTTTTACTTTTAGCTTCCAATACTTCCAAGTTTCAACAGGGAGGCAGAATCACTATTTAAAATAATTTTGTTAGTTTGTAAAAAAAATAAAATTTTAGTTTTAAAAAAAATATTTTGAATGCCAGCTGACTAGTTATTCAAATTTGCAGTTTTATAGCTTTAAAAATTCAAACACCTTAGACATCTACCTTATAAAAATATGAGTTCTAACAAATATTTTTTTTAGCTGTGGAACTTATGATAAGTGCCATTTCACGATAATTTAATTGAATCTATTAAAATTACAGGAGAATTATGTATTTGAAACTTTCTTTTATAGCTAAACAAAAAAAAAGCAATTACTGCGGAAGGTGTGATATTAAAAACTTCAGGTTGATAAATTAAGATTTCTACTATTCTTTATATAAATAAATAATAATGAGGTTAAAAATAATTAAACTAGGTGGACAGTATAACACCTCACTTTTGTGAATTAAGTATCAGAAAGAGAAAAACAACAACTTTAGGTTGAGCTATAAAAGCCTGAAGTATAAAATGTCGCTTCTTAGGTTGATAAATTAATATCTCTAAAAATACAAAATATGTACTTGAGATTAAGAAATAACAACCTAAGGTAGAATAGAACCTCATGCTAATAAGAAATAATCTTTTAGGTGTTAAAAAATACTCTTTAAGTTGATTTATAATAACCGGAAGTGTAAAATGGCGCACCTTAGGTAGATAAATAAATACCTCAACAACTATATAAATCTACACTTGAGGTTGAAAAATAATAACCTAAAGTAACATCGAACATCTCACGTTCATAAAAAACAACCTATCCAACGGTCGAAAAATACACTTGAGGTTGATCTATAACTTGATGTGTAAAATGACGCATCCTAAGTTGATAAAAAATACATCTACAAGCATAAAAATATATACTGAGGTTAAAATATAATAATCTTTGATAGAACATAAAATACCTCACGTTAGTAAAAAAATTACCTTCACAACTGTCAAAAAATACACTGAAGTTAGATCCAGAATAACCTGAAGTGTTAAATAAAACACCTCAGGTTGTAGAATAAATACTTCCACAGGTGTAAAAAAATATACTTAAGTTTATAAGTAATAACCTAAGGTTAAAAACGAAACACCTTAAAGTAGTAAATATCTACCTCTCCAAAGATGAAACACTTCAGGTTAATACATATATACCTCTGGAGATATATTTAAGGTATATTTGAGGTATTCATTTGCACCCTTTTCAACCTAACGACGTATTTAAATAACAACCTCATTTATATCTTTGAATAATACCTCATTTATACCTCAAAAATACTTCAATTTTTCCGTAAGATCAACTCATTAAATAGCGATGCAATAGCTATTTCTGGACCTATTTAAATGGACCTTCTTATTTAAAACCTATACATAAACTTTTCAACGATATTTATTAGAAAGTATTAAATTAACTTAAAATTAAGATGATTTAGATAAACGACAGTATCAGTTCAAATAAACTCGAACAGCCGGTTCATGATGAGAGATGATGAGGAGTCCCAACTCCTCTCCAAGTTAGCAACCGCTGTACTGAATCATATTAGCGTTATACCCCGACAACAACCTCAATGCCCAACAACGTATCTTGGGTAAACTATTTATTTTGGCTATTGCTGAAATCACTCAATTAAGAGAATAGACAGCTAGAAATGCTGGTTTGAAGAAACAGGCACAGCATGTGATCTCGTTTTTTAAACGAATGTTATGGCTAATATATTTTAAAATAATTAACTAGACTTCAGTTCCCCGATACGGAGTACTTGAAGCTCCCTCTTAACTGTTCTGACGATGCCCTTCAAAAACAGACTGAAAAATTAAAGCGATTTTCATCTTACGAAAAGAGTGGAGATATTCCTCCCTTCTTTTTCTTTCTTTTTTTTTGTTATAAAGGAACGATTTTGTGTAGAATTCAAATGTTTTGAAAACAAACTTTTCATTTTAATACAAAATATTTTCCAATGCTGCACCGACAACATTTTTTTGTCCCTTTAATATAAGTTCGAAACTGGAGTTAGCAATTTTTTTAAACTTAATTTTTCTAACGTGTTGAAAACACTTATTTTAATGATCTAGGCTAATGATATAGTTCTTTTTTTCTTTTAATGATGTAAATTTAATCTTTCCAGTGTAAAATTTTAATGATCTAAGCCTTCAATTTATTCTTCTAGGTGCGAAATTTTAATGATCTAAGTTAAGTAATGATCTAAGTTTGATCTATCTTTCCAATGCAAATTTTTAATGATCTAAGCTTTTACAATGCAAAATTTTAATGAACCAAGCCTTAAATGTATCTTTCAAATGCAAAATTTATTAAAATGATTTGCTATAACAAGTAATAATAAAACAAAATGCATATTTTACAAGCTAAAATATGTACAAACATCAACAATGAACCATCCACTCCAGTAGAGCGGGGACAACTAGCTTCAGTTATCACCAATCAGTACAAAAGCAAATCCACCACCACTTGGGTCACGCATAAGCCGGCCGGAAAATCACTTTTCTTTACAGCCGTTATGGTGAGTCAATGCCTTTGTGGAATGAGTTGTTCTCAATATAAAGATTTATAAGAGCCTGCAGAAAAGATGTTAGATTTAAGATACCAACCAATAATCAAACCTTAAACAATGCAAGATTGGAATATGAAACGTAAGGGTTGTCCTAATGAAGAGTGGAGACATTTGGTAGCGGTTTAAATACAATATTTTGCATTCAGGGTTATAAAGAAAAGTAGGGCGAGTACAGTGCAATCATAAGAACAGTGCAATCATATTCTAACCTTAAAAACTGTACTACAGCTAGCTCAGTTCTGGACACATCCATATTTAGCATGACTTTACATTCGCTTTACGTGCTATCCCGAGAACTTTTTAATCAGTTATACGCAGCCTTTTTCTTTTACTTGAACTTTAAGATTCTTTAATTTTAGTTCCTTTGTAATCCTGAATGGCAGCGCTGCTGTCGTTGTTGTATTTTTGACGCTATATCACACACATTAACTTTTCATTTCGGCAACCTTTATATAAGCGGAGAAATTTAAATAGAAAAACTAAAAAGTAATGCTGGAAATTTCCTAGACATTTGTTTAGTTTGTTGTAGTAAATCAAAAGTTGCAGTTTTTCTATGTCGCCTTGCCGTGTGAAATATGCAACACATAGTTTTGAAATTTATGTATAATAGATATTATTTCATAATAATATATATATTTTTTTCATTTAAAAAAAGTGTCTAAATCTTTCTTATTTTATTATTAATTGTTTAATATTGAAAACTTCTGAACGATGCCCAATATGCATTGCATTATTTTTTGTGTTATGTTTCATTCTTTAAACTATTATAAATTATTTTAAGAATATAAGGTGTATCATTAATTTTTTTGGGTAACAAAATGATTTAGAAAAATTGTTTATAGGTACTGAGAAGTTTTTATTTTTATTTTTTATGAACCAGTAAAAAATCTGTAACAATAGTAAATAATACTTTTGTAAATTATACTTTTTTTTGTAAAACTTGTCAATAGTACCTTATTTTTTTTGTAAATTATCGCGTATAATTAAGTGATTAGGAATAAGCCTTATTACTTACCAGTATCAGAATCGTGAGTCCGCATCCAGTTATTTAACCTCTAAATGGCCTTGGTGGTTGAGGTCGTGGCTGAGAGATCTGTGGTCTGTAAATTGCTTGTGCAGCTCGACCTGGAGTGACAGCAGATGCTCTTGCAACATCTTGTTCATTGTGAAAGAAAACGTTAGGACCAGCACCAAGATTGGCGTTCAAATAGAAGAAATCGCCAGAACTGCCACAAGGTACAGCGTCTTCAGGAAATGTGCAACTGAAAGAGAATTGGTCGAAAACAGTTTGGTTTCCACACAAGAAAGACCATTGTTGCATTTGAGCTTGGCCATCTGGGTCAACGGTGGTATGACAAACGTGGAAGATTTGGCAGTTGTTGTCAACATCTGCGTAATAACCATCAGTGCTGCAGAGAAATGATGTCCTTACTGATCCAATCAGCAACTCTGCTCCGTCGGGAAGATCATATGCTGCACGTTTTGACTAAAAATAAATAAGGTTAGAATAAGCTTGTTTCGGGGATTAAGTTACAACGTAAGAGAGAACATCAATGCGAAATAATTAAAATTTATTTATTTATTCATTATATTATCTTATAATCAGAGATAAACAGTCGACCCAATTCTGAGTTTATTGTTTCTATAAATATAAACTGATACTTGATAACAGATATAGCCTGTTAACCAACAATTATAATAGCCGTTAACCAACAGGAAATGAATGAACTTATTTTACAAATGAATTCACATGACAATATTTCACACCCGTTAGTTAATCAAGAAGCAATACAAAATTTTCCATAAAAATAACTTAAAATGTGTTCAGTTAAAATTTTTTTGCACGTAAAATAGTTCGTATTCTGAAGCATGAATCTCCCAACAAGTTAAAAACAAAGTACTTCGTATTTTGAAGAATGAATCTCGTAACAAGCTAAAAACAAAATGCTTCGTATTTTGAAGAACGAATCTCCTAACAAGTCGCTAAAGGCTTTGGAACTAAAACAGAAATAAGTTCCTTTATATAGTTTTATGTTTTATTTTCTAACCGGCGATAAACAATCTACCCAATTCTGAATTTACGACTATCAATGTTCAACTCCGTTGCCTTTCAATTTTGAACTCAACCCAGAAGACAAAGGAACTCCTGGCTCAAACATTGGGACTCTGACTACTACTTCATGGAGGACTATTTAATGGAACTAATACGCATTTGCGTTAAAAGGAGTGGAAAACCGCGAAAACCTCCCACGATTAGCCCGATACAAGGGGGTTCGAGGGATTCGCGAAACCTCAACCGTCTACTATATGTCAGCACTGTAGTCGGTGAGCTGGAAGCAGAATTCGTATCAACCAGCCAATGCTGGGTCACCTCATACGGAGGCAAACGCTCTATCCCCTGAGCATAAGAACCACTTATTCGGTTAAATTTATTTTTCAGTTCTGTAATTTATACCGAATGTGTGCTAATGAGAACTATAATTTTTGAAACCAGAATTTTCGGTGAACCGTTACCATATGAACGGAAAAAATTATTAAATGAACAGCTTAAGTATCTTACATTTTGGTTTTATTAAAAAGAGTTATGTTTTATTTAAACTAGAAATGTCATTACCATACAGAACCGTAATTTTACCAGATTTTTTTTCTTCCTCCGTGAGGTAAATTGGGTAAGTTTTAAGTCACCAACGGAGATTTCCAGTTCTACACAAAGACAGTTCAGTGCCTTAAACACTGTTCAGATCTTGAGATTACTTTACTTAAAATAAAAGTTTTTTTTAAGCAGAAATTTCTTTATGTTTCGAGTTGCCATTTTATTAATCAATGACTTTTATTGCCGTGAAATTTAATATTATTATTTTTTAGTTGAATCTGTTTTGTTCTTTGTATATATGCCAATTAGTGACTATATGAAAATAAGGTTCTGTTCTTATACAGTTGAGAAAAATCTACACTGTGGTTGTGTTGTAAATCTAACATTCTCTGAAAAAAGAATTTTGTGAGAAATCTGTTTTTAAAACGAAAATTGTTATAAATTTTTCAATTTTTTGGATAAAATATTTTGTGAGCGGCCTTTTCTTAAATATATAATGAAGGACCCAAATTTTTCTGAAACAGGCTTCTAGTTATTCGGAAATTTAACAAATAAAATAAATAAAAAAATTTATGCTTACTCTTGAGGCAGCAAGAACGACAGAGACGAGCACTAAAACTAAAAATAAGAGGAAAAGTCTCAGTAAAAAAGTTAAGAAATCAACCTTAGATTAAACATTAAATTTTGTGAAAGAAAAAGAAAATCATGAATTATATATTGTTTCAAAAGTAGATAATGAAAAAAAAAATGTCAATGCTTAACACACTGCGGCGAAAAGGAAAGGAAAAAAAAGCAGCATTTTAATATAAACATTTGACAATGAAATTAAATACCGAAATGTAAACGTTTCCAAAGTTTTGTAAATTTTATATTCTAAAATTTTTAATTCTATAAAAATTAAGTTGAAAAAAAAAAAGAAATGAAATTTTACAAATATATTCACAAAGAATGTGATAAAATCTGAGTTTTATGATTTGTTTCAATTAGTTTTAATATACATGTCGATAAATTTCTGTACTTATTAATATTAAATAAATAGTTAACAATACTGACTTGTTATTATCTATATGTTTGAAATTTTCTGACTACTTCTTAATGGATTCTGTCAGACGCAGTTTATAATTAAAATGTGACCGAAATTTATTTTATCAAATTTTTTATTTATTTAATAAATTATAAATATTACGCAATTAAATATTATTTATAAAATTAATAAATAATATATATAATAAATATTACATAAATAGCTGATCTCATTACCTAAATAGCTGATAACACAATAATAAAAAAAGAAGTAAATTTTACACATCATCTTGTTTCTAAATTAAATATTAAATGCATTTATTACAGTTCAATGATATTTCAATGAAATATTAAATAATAAAAATTTATAATCACTTCGAAATAGTTAAAGTTGACCAAAATATTCCGTTATATTATCATTTGAATTTTTGCTAAATGTGCACATTCAATATAAATGAGCAGAGCAAACAATTAACACTGCATTATACTGCACCAAAATATAAAAAAATTAAATTTTTATTACACATCTAGTACATTTAAGGTAATTCATGTATATTGACTTAATTTTTAAGAATAAAATAGTTACCCAAAGCAATTGATGCCTTCATTTTGTGATTAGAAAATTATTTCCTGAAATAAAAATGAAAATTTAATGCTACAGATAATAAAATCATCGAATCATCACTGTATAATTTATTCATATTTACAAATATTAGTGCAATTAAATAAACTATGTACTTAACTAGGTAAGTATTTATGCTGAAATATATATTATTTTAGCAATCGTATGTTTAAATTCACAACTACACCATGTTTTTAGGTGGCATAAAAAATTAAACATTCGAATTGTGCAAATAAAAATTTCTTAAAATCGTATACTCGCTATTATCTATTTATCAATTCGTATGATACCCATAAATACATGCTTTTTCAAAATTTTGTTTACGTTTTTCTAAACATTAAAGTACATTACAAAAACGTTTCAAATCTAAGAAAAGTATTGCTGCACAGTAAACAAAGTTTTTTTTACAGTAAAATCTATTTTTCTAGTAAAATTTTAATTAACAAGGAAATCTGATAAATCGTAATTATTACAATAATATTTACAGTATAATCTTTACTGAATCCCTGTAATTTAGTAAATATTATTGTTATAATTACGGTATTTATAGTAATCTTTACTGAAAACCTGTAATTTAGTAAATATTATTGTAATAATTACGGTATAAAGTTTTTGATAAAAATGGATTTTACGGTAAAAATACTGGCACTCTGAGTGCCGGCACCTTTTGACATAATACTTCAGGAATCTTTTACAGTGTGCGTCATACATTTAACATATAATAGTATTTGATACATTTGATTATAAATACTGGACAAAAAAATTCCTTTCAAATGCTAATTACTGTAATTTGTTCAATCTTAGATGTCTGCGTTGCCCTTATCTTTTTTTGCTAACTGAACGTTCATAACATACTGAACATTCTTAACATTAATTAGTATTTTTATCCGCATTCAAACCTTGATATCAGAACTTAATGGTGCTCTTTTGAACATATTACAAGAATTAAAAATCAGCAACGAACTTATCAATTTATTTATTTTACAAAGATTTCTTTCTCTACTCTTTGTAATTTTATAATTAATTTGCAATAACTTGTAAATTTTATTGTTAATATAATAAAACTTCTGTTATTATGTTTAAGATTTTTCTGAAATGGCAACTAAATTTGTTATTAAACAATACATGATAACCCTAACAAACACTTAGTAAAGACCATTAATCATTTACAAATACTTAGTAAAGAAGACATTTTAATAAAGGCAATCTAAAATCTGGCTAGACTAGTATCACTATCCAACATTTTTTTTCCGCATCGTATCTTTGTAAGCATCATATCTTTGTAAGTATCATATCTTTGTAACTATACTTATAGTTTAAAAAGTACTTTCCAAGATAAAAGATTCATTTTGATTCCTATAATAGCAGCTTAGTACGTTTCTAACAATGCAGTAAGAAATTTTTACCATAAAATCCATTTTTACCGTAAAATATTATACCATCATTTTTACAATAATATATATTTAATTAGAGTAATTCAGTAATTTTGCGATAATTATTACTGGAAAAATTACGGTACACCAGATTTTTTGTTCTGTAACGTGTTCCGGTAAAAATGGATTTTGCGGTAAAAAGTACCGGCAACCTGAGTGCCGGTACTTTTTACTGTAATTTTATCTGGAATTTCATTACTATATAGTAGGATAATTTGACTAGAATATTTTACTCCGTGAATGATTTTATAGTGAACAAATCTTAAAAGGAAGAATAAGAGCTGTCTAATCAATTAGAATGAAGTAAAAAAAGAGAATCGTACAGGGAATAAGTATATAGCTAAAGTGAGAAGCTTTAAAAACTGCTTCCTTGTCATTTATAAAGAAAAATCATATAATTTTATAAATAAACATATTTTGAAAGTTAAAAACATTTACGTAATACAAAAAGATGTTACGTGTCTCATTTTGCGGAGTATATAAAAATGAAAAGGCAATTTTTTCATGCACATGGAGAGGGAGGAAAAATTACTGAAAGTGTGGTATTTATCAAAGAAAAAAATTGGATCATACGGATTCAATAAGGTTGAATGCGCATCATCTGATTACGAAAATTTTGACCTGGCTGTATAAGATGGCTATGGTGCAGAATTATGATTTTTTTTAAAAAGTTGAATTAAAAGTTCATTTTAAGCAAAATAAATAAACGTTAATTTGAAGTTGGCTAAAGGTAGTCATTTTTAGTTTAAAGTCTTAAGCCAAACTTAAGAACCCTTTGAATATTAAAAATATATTTCCGGAAACATTAAAAATGATGTGTTAAATATGCCACCCAGGTATAAAGTACGAATGAATAAAGGTGATAATGACAATAATACTTCTAAGTATTTTAACAAATATTGGTATATGGAGTTAAGATTTGAAGATTACTACTATCCTATTCGCGAGAAAAGCGTGAAAAAAATGTAGTAAAATGATGACTGTAATCATAACGACTTTTATAAACAAAACTAAATCGTTAGAAAATGAACAAAACATTGTGTGAAAACATTTTATTTCAATAATTTTTTGAAAATAGTTTGCACAAAATTAATTTAAACTATTTTCACAATTCTCTGACAGTTTTAGCAATCGATTAATTTTTTCCTTAAACAACATAATACAAAACTTTAAATTTTCAAAATATTGCTTCCCATTTCCTGATATAAATATTTATTAAATAAATTTATGAAATAAGTAATTTCATCAAGTAGTGGTCTAAATAAATTTTCCAAAGAGTATTAACTCAAAATAAGAAACTAGAGTGATTCGAAACATTACTGATTATACTAGGGACAGAATAATATACATTAAAATAGCATGGATTACCTTTTACTATATAGTTACAAACTGCTCGTTAACATAATCACTACACACTTATAAGAATTTAAGTCTTTCAAAATATTATTAAATTTAAAAACACATAATACTGTGAGCCTTAAATTAAACACCGTTTTAATGATAATATGCGGTAAAAATGTAAAGGGTTTTATCAATAAAATGCAGGTATTTTTTTTTTTAAATCTTAATTTTACTGCGTTGTGGCGTGCATCTCAAAAATATATTCCGTCTTATGCATCCCTGATATTAAGTTCGAAACATTTTAAACCGTAATATAGTCCGAATACGCTACAACTTTAATATGCTACAAAGTGGAGTCATATTATTCGACTTCTTTAAACTGTTTATACGATACTATGGTTTAACTTAAATCAAAACATGGTTTAATTTTATACCTTGCTAAATGTGAAACAAATTTACACTTTATTGTGATTCTAGGTACCGATGATAAATTTTAACGTTGAATCAATATTTCTAAAATCATTGATGGTTCCTCATACTTAATGTTACTGCTATTTTTCAAATATCAAAAAGTTAAAAAGGAAATCGTGAAAGTTACAAAAGACGTAGTTTTAATCGCATCTAACAAAGATCACGGAGAATCCTAAATTACAAAACGACCTACCTTTCAGGAAGTCATAACCATTATTAAGGCTGATACTCAAAGCATTTTTGCCAAGCAAAAAAAAATTTTCAATTTGAATTCTTTAAACTGAAAACAAAGTTTTAATTGCTGTTTGAAAAAATTGTCTGAAGTTTACAACAATACAATTAAAATCTTATTATCTTTAATTAAAAAAAGCAGTTAATTAGGTGAGATTTTTCCGCTTAGATAAAAAAAATATGAACATCAAAGAATAATTCTTAATTTTTGAATATTTTTCCATAAATTTTGAATATTTAGTCCAAAAAATGCAACGATGGAGTAACTTTTTAAATATTAAAATATTCATTTACAAGCGCTTTTGATTTTCGCAAAACTATCAACTTTTCATATTGATATCTTGCGCTATTTTAATGATTAGATTAGAGAACGCTGGATATAGATAGACGAAACATAACCTAACAGCCATGAAGAACTGTTACTAACTCACAACAATTACAAAAATATGATAGAGCCTTCATTCGTGAACCTTAACATTCTTCTCTTTGATAAAGTATCCATTGAATGCAAAAAGACAGCAAATTCGGCAACTTCATATTACGCTCATTCTAATACCGTTTTTAAACCGAAATCGAGATCTAAGCAAGTTTCTAACTATCCAAGGAGTTATGGAAGCATGTGAATCCTCTTACCTGTCTGAAGAAGCTGAGGAGCAAGAGAGATGAAGATGCTGAGATGAGGCATTCATTATTGTCCATCATTTTATACTAGAATTTATTCCGGGGGTCACCTGACGAAACGGGTTACTCGACCAATAAAAACACGGATTCGGTGCGCCCACTAACATCTGTGTCAGACGGTCTTCCTTGTCTGCACGAAGCGGGATATTTGTAAAAAGAAAATAAAACATCTTTTTTCTTTTTCATGAAGACTATGGAATTTAGAAAGTATGATGAGTCTTCCTGATTCAAGGCTATCGACAGAAGATCGTAATCTCCAAATCTTTTTAGGCTTTTTGTTTTATGAAAAATGGGAAAATAACTTCAACTTGTTCTTTTTTTCTTTCTCACACTGAATTGACCCTTATGCTTGTGGTCAGTTTTATGAAACCAGCATAGATTTCTTTTGAAAATGGAATTTCCATTTTATCTTTCACTTTCATTGACAGCTTTGCAATTTGTAGGTGTTTTGAGTTTTGTTTAATTGTTCTACTTTACGGAATTAGAGTCAAGACATGAGATTATTACTGTCACGTTTTATTTCATTGCAAAATTTTCCTTGCTACAGAGTAAAATTATAAAATTAATTTGAAAAATTTAAACTTCAAAGAATACTCTAGTCGTTTTCTTAAACTTTATTCTGGAATTTATAAAATTTAAAATTTCGTATGCGTGTTTCGCATTTCGTATTTTTTTGCGTATGCTTTTTTTGTATAAAAATAAAATAATAAAAAAATATTTCAATTATGACAGTAACTATTTTCGATATGAATGATATACTATCTGAATCATTTAAAAGATTGCTTACGAGATTATATTGATATAAATTTAAAATATTTGAATTTTGATTTATGTGTACCATTACAAATTTAATCCAATTCTGCTCCCTAATGATACGAAAATAATGCTTTTTCTGAATTATTACTTTTTCTATTCGTGGTTATTTATCTGATTACCAAAACTGTTACTGTAGAATTATTTTGCAATTTTCCATTAGAAGACGAACAGCAAACATAAGCTCTTTCAACATTGCTGATTAAAATAAATAAATAATAAAATAAATAATAGCCCGTACCACGGATATAATAACATGCTTTGGTAACAAATCCTGATTACCAAAACAGACACATATTCTAGAATTCTATCACTGTTTGCCATTAAAAAACGGACAACACAGGCATAAATTGTTTCAATCTTGCTGATAAAGTATGGAAATAAATTGAAGGAACAGGGATATTTTTCAGATATTTATAGCAACTATCTATTACACTTCTCTCCAAACGTATTCTGAAAAAGAAATATTACCGCTAAAATGAAGAAATTTATAGTATAAGAAATCTCTTGTAGGATGAGAATCTCTAATGAAACCATCTGAAACAACTTGAAATATGTTGAGAAAAAGCCACGAAGTACAGTAATAAATAAAAAAAAATAAAAGAAATATGTATTGCGAATGCTCAGTTTATTTGCTATGAGTGAACAACGGAAGCTATAAATATACTTTAGAGACTGTATTATGAAATTTAAAACCTCTCGAAAGCTATTTATTTTCACATTTATTTTTTATTAATGGCTCTATCTATTGTTAACAGTTCATGTGAGACACATTAAAAATAGCCATTATATGGTCACAAACAACGTGCATAAAACTATCAAAAATATAATTCGATTTAATCTTACGATTTTCCTTTCAAAACTTTGACTTTTAACTTTTTTTTCCCTCTATAAATATCGAAAAAAAATGTATTTTATTCTGTTTCAATAACCAATGATTAAAAAAAGTAACTACAATAGCCATCTATAGTTAGGCATAGACTTTTAAAAACCAATATTTTCAAAATAAGGAAATTTTAAGATGCATGTAATACATTAGCTAAGTATTAACAGTGTTCTGAAAAACTGTGAGTAACATTCTGTCAGTTAGCGGATTATACATAATAAATAAAATTATTCAAAGTAAGCATTTAAACTATAAAGTAACTACAATATTTTGATTTTAACTTTTCGATATTATAATCTTGTTGAAAACGCGATGAAAGGTGCGTTTAAACAAGTAACCAAAGATAAGTATGGATACGAGATGTGGGCAGTGAGCGGGTCGGAGCTTAATTAACATGTTAAATTAATTAAAATTATGCAACAAATAGTGTTTAGGTTCCACAGAAATATCAATATTTTGCTTTTAGCACTTTTTTCATACCATCCAATTTGACAACGAACACAGTAAGAGAGATTTCAAGAAATTAACCAAAAATGAGTATGGAGTCACTATGTGGGTACCAATTGGGATTATGTGTAGTTGACACATTAAATTCTTACGAAAATTCATATTTATTTTCCAAAGATGTATCAGTATTTCGTTTTTAGCAATTTTGTCATATAATATTTTTGTACATATTTCTCTTTTCATATAATTGAGACTGTGCATTTTTCATATAATCTATTTGAAAGCATATTAATTTAATGTATGTTTAATGATTAAAACAAATAAAAATAGTACGTGTTACTTTCAGCTACTATAGATTTAAAGTGATGAGAATTATTAAGGTGTTACTGGTCGCTAGATAATTTCTAACGAAAAAAAAATTTTTTTTTCATTCAATTTATAACCATACAAAACATTTTTGCCTATAATTTGTAAAGTATTGCAGTACAACGTGTATTGAAAAATGCCCCTAAAACTGCTTTAAGTTAAAAGGGTTTTTCTATTTTTTAATACCAAAATGCTCAAAATTAAAAAAACAAATCTCTGCCTTCTTTGAAAATAAAATAAAAGAAGTTTTCATTGTGGAGATCAGCTTTTCTGGGAAGCAAAAGCTGTCGGTGCACAATTCCAATCACATTACGATGTTAGTCTCAAAATTGTGTTGCCTTAACCTCCATGAATTTCCTGGTCCACAATGGCCAAATGTAAGAATGCTTAAATTTTATAACTCTGCATAATAATATAATGTATATATTTTTATTTTAAAGTGTTTGTTACATGTAAATATATATGTGTTTAAAAACGAATAAGTCTCGGCAGTCATGGATATTTTAAACTTTCCAAAAACAAAGTAGAAATGTGATGGTTCACTAACAATATTTCAGCCCTCATTCTAACTGTTCAACTAAAATGATGTAATTTAATTCAAATTTGATTTATTTTGAATAACTCGTGCTCTATTGAATATTGAATACAAAATGGAGAAAAATTAACTCAAATCTGATTCAAATGAAAAACCAACTCAAATAATGCTGATTTTTAAACTGAATGGAGTCGAATATGAATAAATAGTGTCACTATAATAATGCTGATAGTCAATCTAAAATGATAGTAATGAATCTAAGTTTGATTCGAATGATGTACTAAAACTTGAGTTATTTCTGTTGACTATTTCACTTGAGTGTGCTAACTCAAAATTAATTGGCCGAGATAACTTGTTTGGTAAGGTGTTGGGCCAATGTCAGAGAGGTCATGAGTTCGATCCCACCGGCCGAGGACTTCCCTTGTAGTAAATGGTGACTAATGCACGCTAAATTTGCCAGGTTACAAAGTCCTCCATGTTCTCACAACAAATCATATCTCTGTGGGATGTTGAATTGGAGATTGATCGTTCTCCGTTTGAAGTCAGAATTATGGATGAATGTATGAATGGGTCCACGCTTTTAACAGGCAGTGACGTGTGTGATTGAAGTCGTATTTTGGCCATAGATGGCACCATCGAAAAACAGGAAACGGACCCTCTGTCTTAAATTTGCTTGGTTCCACCAAGCAGACTTGCTGGTATTGGCAAATGGCATTAGAAACAACAACAGCTCAAAATTAGAAAGATTGTTTTAACTAGTTATTGACTAGTTAACTAGTTATTATTTTAAATATTAGCTAGTTATTATTATTTTAAGAGAGTAAAAAGATTGAACATAGGTTTACAAAACATTTTTATGCCTTTAAACAAGATTTTTTTTTTACCAAGTCAAACATCACAGAAATAAAGCTTTGTTATGTAACGCATTAAAAAACAGTTGTGAATGTAATTCATGCATTATTAAACTGAATGACTTAATTTACTCAGATTTTGTTTGAGATATATTTTTAAGTAGAAGGACTCTAGTTCACAGCTTAATACAATGCCGGGTTCCTTTTAAACTACTGAAAACGAAGTAAACAATAAACAATAAATACAAAATTACCTTTCAGGAGCTATAAAAGAATCATAAATAATGATTCCCTTAACAAAAGGTTTATTTCAAAAGTGAAAATTGCTTAAATCTGATAACGTAGCTCAATCCACGATTTTCCCCTAACTTCCTGATGAAAGGTGTGTTAAAGAAACATTTAGAAGGTAATAATTTGAAAAAATTTTCTCTTTCATACTTGATTATTTCATTTAGAAAGATAAATTATTTCTTTTTTGTCATTAGAAAAATTAGGGTACAGTTGATCAGTTTTGAACATGTGAATTTTTAGATGAAATCAAAAGTTCAATTTACTTGGGAAAAAAATTAGCCTTAGTATTTTTCAAAGAGGCTTCTAGGAACATTGTATAAATATATTTTTTTTTAGAAAAAATATTTTTTTAATTTTTTTAATGCCATACTTATTTATTTGAGAATTTTAGAAAATATTTCACCTTTCCAGTTGAAAAATTTTTTCAATTATCACAGTGTTTTTAAATTAATTTGTATTAATGATAAATTTATTAACAACTTTACGAATTTAATTAAATTGGTTTAATATTTAAAAAAAATCATTAAGTAAATCAGTATACATTGACAAAAAAGAATTTATTTTTTTTAAATGGAAAAAATAGCAGATTTACTCGATATCATGTGTAAGATTTTAAGACGATACAGGTAGATTGTTTGATTTAATGTAAGCGACGCATTTTAACAAATAAATTACTTGTCTTATGACTTAAAGATGAGAGGCTCATTAATTTGTTTTCTAAAAAAAAAAAATGGGTTATACAACTCCAACGTGGAGTAATGATCTTGCCTCTTTCTTTTTTTCAAACTTAGTTTTGAACTCCATTTGAAAAACTTGCTTTGAGAACGTAATGTCGTTTACATTTCGCGCAGTATAACCGATTCCGAAAGGGTTTGTGATACTACAGAATAT